AAAAAAAAAAAAAAGAAAAAGGGGGGATGGCGAACCCCAGGGAAAGTAAAAATAAGATATACACTCAGGCTAAACCCCTTAAAAACAAAACCAAAAATCAGCAAGTGCCGCAGCATTGGGCCGTCTAGGACATTGGTGGCGCCGAAAGCACGGGCGACGGTGACTTAAGAAGATTAGCATAAATAGACAGAAGTATAACTAGTGTCGGAAAGGAAAGATGGGTGCCCAAGACCTTGCTAGTTGAATGTTGCAAGCAACTTGGTGGTAGATAGAGTATATAAATAGCAGCGCCCCAGCTCCTTTTGTCACTGCCACTCGTGCTTTGGCTCGTGGACCGGTGTTTTGGACGTAAAAGCCTGCGTGCCAGCACGAATGCCCACACGCTCCGGTGATGCCTCAAGTCGGACCTTTCTCGAAAGAATAAGAGATCGGGGGCTGTTGGTGTCAAACTCGGTTCCACATGGCAGATTCGTCTGCCTGGTGTGCCGTTTTTTGTGGCTCTCGTCGACTACGCCCAGGAATGGGGAGATGGAGTCGCGCCCGGTTGTGGCTATCAGGCATAAGGTAGCCCCTTTGGTCGGAGTCAGCCCTCCAATTTTTTGCTCTTTGTTTTTTCTCTCATCGGCTGCATAGCGGGAGGAGCCGGCCACAAGAAGAAAATGACGCAAGAAGATGAGGGAAAGTCTTAAGCTACTAGTAGCACGTAGAGTTCCTTCACCAATCTAATCAACGCGCATGTTCTTACTTAGTGCAAAACATTCCTCTAGTTCGCATCAGCAATCAGTTGCCGCGCAGCTCCACCTAGGGCCAAAAATATTTAAATTGATTAAGCGGACAGCGCTCCGCCGCCCAAACGTAGCATTCACAATAAGCGCGTAATGGGGAGACGGGCAACGCCCCGGGTGGCAGGTATTAGGTGTGTAATTTTCCCTGCCTTTGCTCCTAGGCTTGACCATTTTGGAATCGTAGGGGCAGTGGCGTAGTTTGTTAAGGAGATTAAGAACTCCCCCCTACGCCGGTAGCTACGCGGAAAATACGCAGGCAGGTTTTGACTTATCGGAACTCGCTCGCAAAATACGCCGGTAGGTTTTGACATATCGGAACTCGCTCGCACTACAAAAAAAAAAAAAAAGCCAATGAATTGAATTGAATTGAACAGTAAATTGGTCGTCTGCACATGCACTACCACTGTATCCTTATAGCTGAGGCTTGCCTCGTCATGCGTGTGCCAAACACAACCTGTATAGATGAAGTTGAACTAGTATGTTCACATTTTGTAATGTACCTACGAGCATTTGCTCTGGTCGTGCTGCTGGTGCTCATCTGGGCGTCCGCTTATTGACTCATCATAAAAAGCTCCTGAAGATCGTCGCTAATATCCTTGCAAATATGACCTAATTGGATTTATGGATTCTTGCCAACGAAATTAACACTAACCAACGCTTATATATTCTCCTTGACATTTTTTCATTTTCTACTTCGGATTACCATGTTGAATGTCCTAAAACCAAGCAAAAATGATTGAAAATGTACTTGAGTTGAAATGGTTCATGTCTGAAACGCACTACAGATATGATCTAACACTGTAAACTAAAGCCTGCTGGTGCTGATGTAAAGCTGAAATACCTTATAAGCCATTGTTAAATTTAGAACTGGCCTACTTACTTCATCAATTACCCTTTTGTTGTTGGTTATCATCGTATTACTGCAACTGTATCCTGAGACCATAGTCATAGCTTGTAGGCTCTCTTTTGTTCCAGCAATTTCATCCACCCGCCAAGACACGATAGACTTTTTTTTTGGGTGCTGGTTAAGTACTTGGATCTTTTTCATACACATCATACTCAAAAGCAAAACACGTTGTTGACCTTGTGCACATGTACGGAAGAATGTTGATCTATCTTCAATCATGAAATGTTCGCAACATGTTGATCACGACGACATGAAGAAGAGGTACGATGCATTCCCCTACCTCAACTGGCCCGTGTACATGTGCTTGGACTACTAGGACAACTTAAACCCATACATCATTATATATTGTGGTCTTCAACAGCCCCGGCGCCGCGGCGAAGAAGATGCACGACTTGCACAGTTGTGAGTGTTGAAGATCATGAACTTATCCGCAAAGAAAACCAAACTGAGGCAGTTTCAGTTTCTGGAAGTGGAGTCTCTATCTCAGTCTTTGGCCAAGTCCGGTCGTGGGATCATCCCTCCGAAACTGGGCAGCACTGTGAAGGAAATCCCACGTCGGAGTTTAAATACATAGGTTCTTGTTATTCATTGCTCCTTCTACCAGTGCTGAGTCTACTTTTCCGAGGCGTGTACCGTGATTGATGTGAAGTATGTGTGAAGATCTAACCGAAGTAGAATTAGATGAATTCTTTAACGACCACTGTTCTTTGAGTTTGTATTGAGCAGCCGCGTATGTCTGCCAATTTTTCTGGTAGGCCCACACCTAACCTTACCTAACCTAACCTTAAAGGCTTTGTATTCCTTGTGGACCATCCACATACATCAACGAAAACGAATTGTTCAAAAAAAGAGATGTCGACGTCCAATCCGTTGGCTCGTGGCCGCGAAACTGGCAGACTAGATGCGCGTTATAGTGTTGACGAGGACACAGGAGCCCCAGCAGACGAGGAAGAACAACAAGTAGAGAAGAAAATCCGACGGGAGTTCCTTACTATGAGTATCCTCTTCGGTGTGATACATGCTACAGTAACGACGCCAATAGGATACGCCACGGCTGCGCTTGGAGCCGAGGTCGGAAGCGTCGGCAACGGGGCGCTTTATTTGTGCTCCATCTTTAGCAGCCTATTTCTGGGAGCTCCAATGCGTGCATACTTCGGAACGGTGAATGCCTTATGCGTTGGATCACTCTTGTACGCATTGTACGTATCGTGCTTCGGTCTCGCTGTGCTTAGCAAAGATATGAACGCCACTCCGAGCAGGACACCAAGCACTGAAGAGGACGACGACGAAAGTCCATGGCCTCTGATCTTTCACACAGGAGGGTCTGTTTTTGGTGGTCTCAGTGTGGGCGGTTTGTGGACTGCGCAGGGAGTCTTTTTTGCGGATTGTGTTGCGGCGATAGTAGCTGTCAGACTGCGAAGAATATCGGCGCGGAAAGCTTCTGGGTCTTCGTTGACCGGTGATGAAGAGAGTGCTGACACAACTGCAGGTGGTGAAGGGAGAAGTCGACCATCTTCTAGAGTTGTAGTTGATGTTGTTCCGAAAACTAACGACCACGACCATGTATGGTTCTGGTATTTGGTAACCTGAATTTGATCCTAAGGGTTCTCTTCTTGTTTTCCCTTAGGATCAAACTCAGGTTACCAAATACCAGAACCATTCAGACCAGACCCAGAGGAGTGCTTCTTCATCCGATGTCGCGCCATCGGTAAGCAGTGAACTGAGTGGGACTTTCGGTTCGATTTACCTTTTCACGGAGGTGCTCTTCAAGAGTACCCTGACATTTTTTTTAAAAGCATTTCCGAAATCCGGGAATCAAGGAGTTGTTGGGCCTGGTGTCGTGTTTCTTCTCTATGGCGTGATCGCCTTACTCTGCATGGTCCTCATGAAATTGATGCTGGCGGACACGAAAGCGGATGTTGCTTCGTCCGGTTCTGAGAGTTCGAAGGCGCCGTCTTCAACAGTAGAGCCAGGACAGAGGCAGAGCCAACATGTGGTTGGAAAATCAGACGCCTCGGCATCCGATGGCCCACGCAATGGTCCTCGTCGGGATGGCGGAGTCGAGCTCAGTGCGACATCTTCAAGTGGGACAAAGACTACGGCTCCGACTGGCGTTGTAAAAGGTGATATCACAATCACTAATTCAATCTCTGCAGAGGACCGGCAGGAGGCGAGTATAAGTTGTCCATCTGCTTCTTCTAGTAGACCTGATCCTGATAAAAACGCGTCGCAGCAGCAACCGACTGCCAACAGTGCAGCAAAAAATGCAAGTAGTCGTGTTTTCACGGCCATCATGCTGTGGCGAGATCGGCGGCTCTGGCTTCTCGGAATGCTTAATTTCGCGTTCGGTGTCTCTGTTCCCTTTCTCAATGGTTGGGTCAATAATTACGTCACAAAACAGGCCCTCGGAGCCTCCATGCTACCGCTTTTAGGTTCAGTCACATCCATATTCGCAACTGGATTTACGCTCCTCTACACGCGAGTACCTCTGTTTGCGCGTTCGCACTGGCTCCCACTAGGTGCAGCAAGCTGTTGTTTTGCACTGCAATCCATCCTCGTGACTGCTGGAATTTTGAACACGCATTCGGGGTGGTGGTTGCTTATCCTCTACATACTGCAAGGCATGGGCCGTGCGGCATATGAGTCAACGAATAAAGCTGTGTTTGCAGACTTTTTCGGGTACCACACTCACTTAGGGTTACTAAGCCTTGTTTTAAAGAACTTGAGGACTCGGTCACAGTTAGCACGGCTTTTTCTAGTACCTGCTTCTTGACAGATGCAAAAAATCGTACCTACTTCCATATTTGCAACTTGCATGTTTACTATACAGAATCTAGATAACCAAGTCCATTCTTCATCATCATCATCATGATCATCATCATTCCTATACAGAATCTAAACCAACTTTCAGGGCTGAGAATAAAGACGGCGCTTTTGCGAATGTGATGATGCAAAATTGCACGCTGACGGCTTTCCTGTTTTTCTTCAACGCAGCAAACGCCGACTCGGAGAAAGGCATAGAATTGCAAAAAAACGTGATGGGATGGGGTGAATTTGTGTTGGCGGCCCTTGTACTACCTGGCTACTTCGCAGCTTCTGGGCGGCTTTGTGCGGTTGTTGGTGGCCCCGATCAGAACGGGGGGACGAGGCAATCACTGTTGGAGCGACAATGATGAGGAGAATGCCGTTCTTGCTACATCATCAACTTTAATTTCAACTTTCACTTTGATTGATGTTGATTCGTCATGCCTATTGTTCGCTTACATCTTCATGGGCGAGGGCTTGTTTGCTTCCTTTGACTACTTACACGCAGGAGATGTTATGTCCGAACGCCGATATGTGCATAATTCATTTTCATGATCTTAAATATATTGATCTCAAAAGCAAAACTGTTGGACTGCCCTAGAAAGAACCCCGCACTCGCTAACGTTGCTAGCGCACCCTCTGGCTGCCGCTGGATCCGTTGTGATTCCATGGAGATCATCCACACGACCCAATCCTATCCTCTCATAGTAGAGGATGAATTTTTCGTCATGATGCTTGTTCTGTAAGCGAAGAGGGTGATGCGCGTTCAAATACTAGAATATTTGAAATTCCGAGGAGTAGATGTTGCTGACCTCAAGTACTTAGCCAAACGGAGCACAGGCCTTGGATGCTGGAAGATCCTTGAATTGCGATAACAACAACATGAGCAAAGTACGAGAAACAACTGAAGAGAGATGAGTACTTACGTGTAAGCACGGCTGCTGTAGCACTGATGTCTGTGGTCGCTGTCCGTGAACAGTGATGTCTTAACGACTCTGGTTGATTTTTGTAGCAGGATTCGCATTATAAGATTCCAGTAACTAAGCACATGTACAGCGTGCTTTCAGGCTGCTCACATTGTTCAGTTACTCAGAAGACGTTTGCATCTTTCTACAATTACAGTGCTGACTGCAGTGCTGCGCTGGCAGTCGTCGAAGAGAGAGAGAGACTAGGTCCAGATTACTTAATACTGTAACTACAGTAGAAAAGATGAGCGACGACGGCTACTCAGCATCGCAGTTGAGGTATTGTCTTTTTGCATGCCTGCTACAAACTTGCTATCGATTATTCGAACTCCAGGACGACGAATTGGCTGTTGTCCACTATATCTATAATAAACTCGGGAATTTACATTATGGTCAAACAAAAGATGAAAACAGTATCAAGTACAAGTCTATTTAACCATTGATAATTTGAAGCTCTATTATTTTTTTGAAGCTCTATTATCAATCTCCCACAGGTCACGTTACGGGCCGGGTGGTAGCGAAGGAGATGCGAGCTTATCAGCATCGCAGTTGCGCTCAAGACATGGAATCAACAATCGTAGGATTTTCTGTTTCACCCACTCCTGTTTACTCTTTCATCCCTCATACCATAATACCAGCACAATTTGAAAAAATGCGCGACCACATGATCTGATGCAAATGCTTATGCTCATATCCTACCGTGTTTCTCTTTCTACCATCCTGATCTTCTTAATAAGGTAGTTTTGTACTTTTCTTCATCCAGGAAATTCATCAGGTGAATTTAAAGATAAGGGAGGGATGAACCCGGCAATCATCATTGTGATTCTGATGGCGATTGCTGGAGCAATAGCGTATTATCTTTTGGTCATGCAGAAAGCAGGGAAATAGCACGCTTCAGGCGCTCCAGAGGAGGCATTCCTTATGATCGTAGGCGTGCAGGATGAAACGGTCTGGGCTTTGCTGGAGCAACAATGATGCGGATATTTCCTGATGGAGCGCACCAGATCAAGTTCTTGAAGATGATTTCTTTTGGGACACTTTTGGTGGCATCTTTTCACAGTCGATGACTGCTTACAACTACAATAACTACTCTCACGTCGCCGGTCATAGCACAATCGCAAAAGCGTGTTGATATGACTCCCCCATTGATTGGACAGCCCCATTTGGACCTACCCTCAACTATCCAACCTCCCAAACACGAAAAATATCCGGAATCCTTCCTCAACAAATACGAGGTTACATGATTACTTTCCCCGCAACACCCTGATTTCTTACGAAAGCCTTTCAACGCTGATTTCGTGAGCACGACAGATGAAACGCACAGGCACACAGTTAGTACTTGTCGTGTACTACTTTCAACACTGGCACTAACAGATACAGAAGTTCCATCTTCGCTTGAAGATACAGCCGCGCTATCGATGTGGTATTTATGACAGCCACGCCGTAACAGCAAGTGAGTGAATACGGTTGGAACAAGCTGCAGTGCTGAGTAGAGGTGAAGAAAACGAGAGGACATTTCCACGGAGAAGTAGAGCGACTAGAGTGAAAGGATGGAGGATAAGCTACATCTGCGTCACGAAAATGATGAACAAGATAATTGGCAAGATGAAAATGGACTACAGGTGACGATAACCTATAGTAGTAGTACCGTAGTTGAAGATAAGATTATAACTGTACGTAACGGGCCTTGGAGTGAAAATTTTCTGAATTTTTACATGGCGAAATGAATCAACAAAAATATTATACAAGAGAAGTGGGCTAGATTGGTTACGTAACACATAAGAAATTGTTTGTACAACACATTGTTCGCACAGTCAGTATCTATTTCTGCCTTATAGAATCTATCTACTTTACGTTTACTTAGGATTATAAGATGCGCAGAGTCCTCTGGCTCGTCTGGGCCGGTGGCTCTTACGCCTCTCGAGGTCGAGAGCTGGGTGATGACAGTGATTCCTCCTCTTCCTCGGTAGAGGTGGCTGACGCTTATGACCTGGAAAAATGTACTCATACTCACTTCTCAAATCCTATCCACTTTTGTATGGGTCTGGTATTTGGTAGCCTGAATTTGATCCCAAGGATCCTCTTCATGTTTTCCTTATGATCGAAATCAGGCTACGAAATACCAGAACCATTCACCTTTTCCAGCACTACCACTAGCGACGTAATTTCTTGAGAGTATGAGTATACTTTTTCCTGTCATAACGGTCCACGTCCGGTTGCTCTGACGAGCCTGAAGTTCAACTACGGAACCCTTACGCCAGAATGGGACCCGGCTGTGACGGATTTCACCCTCAGCATTCCAAAATGCGACTACACGAAGGAGAAATACTTCCCACTGAAAGCGACTATGGATGCGGGAGAAAACGGAGACATCGCTTTTACTTTTGGGGATATCTCAGATGTACTATTAGGGGGATATGAATTTTTTCATGAGGATGAGCATGAAGAGCATTCTGCATAGGAAATAATAATTTTTTTTAATGATGCGGGTGTTCTTGTGGTTGTCAGAGTAGCTCATGTTAAGATGTTGAGAGCGCTTCCCTAATAGCAACACAAATAGAGACTTGATCGTGAAGACACAATGATCCCATGAAATACAACATAAATCATTTACCTCGTCCTCCAGCAATCCGGCGCTCACATGCACGCTGTTTTTGGCGTTATAGAGGGAATCACGGAAGGCTTCGAGTCCAGGGACCTGACAATTTCAGTTACCAGTGCCCTAGACTCTTCAGTGGGCTCTTCAGACTACACAATTCATGTCGTAGCAGACGCAGCAGAGCAAGACCCCGATCACGAAGCGTGCCTCCTTACGGAGTATCTATTGACTTTCAAACTTCAGAAATCGTGTGATCAATAGACTTAAAAAAAGTAGAATTAGCAGAACATCATGAAGGGAAACAAGACTTATCTGGTCGATTCTATTATTTCATAAACTTCACCTACAACACGAGGATAGCGAGGACACTCACACACAAGCACAATTCCAACAGGATTCCGATTACTTGCGACGTGGCGCATGCAAAATTAGAGCACGATATTTGTAAATGCGAAGCGGGATGGATGGGCTCGTTGAGTTTCACAAATGCCACAAAGGAATGGCATGGGAACTGCATTTATGGATTTCTTTCAGAACTAGATTTCACTGTACATTAGACTCCTTTCCCTTTGTTCCCCGCAAGTGGCTGTATTCTTTTAGATATGAAAACAACTTCATTTGTACGGCTCTGGTATTTTTGGTATAGCCTGAGTTTGATCCTAAGCAGGGTTCTCTTCTTGTTTTCCCTTATGATCAAACTCAGGTTACCAAATACCGGAACCATTCATCATTCTCATTTCGCCCTGCTCTTGCTACGCCTCCCTTTCATCTTCCGCGTGAGCCTCCGCGAGGTGCTTGGCCCTGTCAGGGCACTTTTCCGTTCACGTGCGGCCGTTGTCCAAGTGCGGAGGAGGCTTCTGAGTTGCTGGATGACGTCACGGCTAGTTGCAATATCATGCAAGAAGACGTCAGCCGTATAATCTGGCACACTCCAAAGTCGGGGTTTGAGACGGTATTTTTATATATGAGAGTTGTAATTGTAGTAGTAGTTTACATCTTCACGATTGCATGTTATAATGTTGGGGCAAGCAACGTGGTCAATGAATGTCTATGGAGTAGATGTGGATGTCGCTTTGGCCGTCCTACGCCTACTAGCAATTCCAAATCAGGAGAACGAACCAGAGCCATCCTATCTTCCTGATCTTCATCTTTTGATTTTATCAGGTACATCCTTTGCTGAAGGAGGCCATCTGCGTGTCGCCCATTTGCCGATGGAGGGTTGAATTGGCAGCGAATAGCTTCGCAACCTGTCAGGCTATATGGCACGATTATTTTTCTAGTTCCGCCTTCTCCAGAAAGTATCTGGTCACTACCCCTTCCTCCATTAACTACTATTCCAGTATCCGTTCTTCACTGATTCATTTGTGACAAAAGCCCTCCCACCTAGATGAGGGTTCAAAGACGATCCCTACGCCAACGGTAGAGGCAACGTCAAGGAGAACGCTTTTCCACGTAACTCTGAATTTCTTCATACATGATGATCGACGACAAAGACGTGCTCGTGCATTGGCGTGACGCTGACTGGTCTTTGATCACGGTGAAGCGCTTCCTAGACGTCTTCCATAGCGCCAAGGATGCCTGCCATCTCGTTCGAGCCGCAACGAATGTCTACAGCAGCGTTCAGTTATGTTGAGATTTCTGGAGCACTAAGTAATAAAAGTATGCGACATCTTCTTCAACACGTCTGAGTAGACCACGCGTGCTATTGATCTACTTGTTCCATGGATCAACATTTGTACAGCTTTCCCTGTGCTGCACCTCCATTTTTCCAGCACAAAGATGTGCGACCTTCCCAAAGAACCAACACGCCCTCCTTTTGTTCATACCGAATTTCCCAAAAGCTCCTCGTCACTGGCGTGGATCTCCGATCCGATGTCACTATCCGGGAAGCAGAAAACGCCTTCCGACAGGCCTTCAGTAAGGTCCTATCTCACCCATTCCGACGACTGGATGTCGCCATTGAGCCTGAAACGTGCATAAAAGACCCAGTCTGCGACCACAACCAGTGCGGCTACGGGGAATGCGTGCCGTGGACGGTACCTAAAAATTTCATGTTGCATGTCCTCTGTCTGTTATCCGGTACATTTCTTTTGAATAACCTCAAATTCAAAATTTCATGTTGAATGTCCTCTGTCTGTTATCTAGTACAAGTTCAAGTTAATATTGTGAGTCATGGACTTGTACTAGAGGTGGAGGTGGAAGTTCAAGAACTTCTTTTGCCCTCTGACACACCAGGCTCGCGAACCTTCGCAAATGACGCTTTTCGATGGGAGTTATTCTAGCCGCCATCCGAACCGTCTCGGCGATTACGGATATAGGTGTTTGTGTAATGAATGTTTTGTGGATATGGCAAGGACAAGCTTACTCATGCAGCTCAAGAAATTAGGCAGATTTTAATTAGAAATCTGCCTATTCGAAAACTCAAAATAAGCGAGTTACTGACCGAAATAAGAGAGGCTTGACTACATTCATTCCTCTTCTTTCAGTATCCCCCTTAAATTTTCACTAGTTACTCGCTTATTTCAGTTTATCGAATAATTAGTTTGCAGAGAATGAGTAAGTACACTTTTTCCTTTCATCGTGGAGAAGATTCAGGACGATGGGATTCGAACCTGCGTGCGCGATGAAACCTGTAAACCCAAAAACTACTGCGAACCCAATCCGTGTAAGTGCGGTGCCGAATGCATCCAAACTCCGGAAAGAGTCGCTCTGGGGGAACCGGGATATCAATGTAAGCATTTTTGATTGAAACAAGATTATACAAGAAACATAAATATACAAGAAGTAGCTAGGAGTTCTTAGATGAGTCAGAGTGTCATCGGACTCCATAGCTAATAGCGTGTAATTGTCTTCGTCTCATTAGAAGCTGTCTGGTAGCGCCAATGTAGAAACAACGGGTCACCACCTTCACAGCTTCAACATCAGAGAAATCCGTAGAACTCAGAAGAGACCCAGGGAAGTCGGAGGTCCAACCCGAACCGACTAACATCATCGTCAGGAGTTGGCTGGTACCGAGAAAATTCACATCCTCGCGTCAATTGACGGCAAGAACCAGATGAATTCCAACACCAATCCCCTTTACCACCCACACCCCCCAACAATAAGGTAAGTGCACTGGTTATTTCACAGGAGATCTTTGTGACACTCTTGATTGCCCCAGTGGATACACCAAGGATGCGACAACGATTAGTGCCGATGTGTGCTCTGAGACCTGTGTTCCGATGGAGGGATCGAATCCCTGCGACCCGAATCCTTGTCAGCATGGAGGAGCATGCACTACGGAGGGGGATGATAGTACTTAAGTATACTAAGAAAATTTGATGAAGACTTATTGCATTTGTTGGACTTGGAATACCTATTGTTGACGTTGACGTTGACGTTCAGGTTCACCATCACCTACACCTTTACTCAGTGATATTGAACAAGACGAAATCACTGATACTGTGAAGTACTTATACACAACTTTCTACTTCTTCCGTATCCCTACAAGCCTAATCCACCGACGAATTTCCCAATCGAGAACACAAGCCCAACGACGACAGGTTTCACTTGCGACTGTCCGACTTCATTTGAGGGGAAGCGATGTGAGAAGCTGACTTGTCCCGACGGGTTCAAGGAGGCTGGGGATATCTGTCTGCCGGAAGGCACTGACCTACCACCACCGCCAAAGGCTGACTGCTCCACATGTGACGAGAATCCATGTGCGAATGAAGGATACTGCCAGGTAAATGGTAAATTGATTAGGTGTCGTTGGAGTTGATGACAGAGAAAGTGAGCCACAATGTCTGACTCACACACTGCTATGAGATGCGTGAGGCTGTGATCTTTAGACCGTACACTTCAAAACAACACAATTTTTAGAGAATTCAACCTACACGACCTTCAAGCTTTCCCGTTATCCATCTTCCCCTGTACTCTCTACGGACACAAAAAGAGTCGTTCCACAACTAGGTGATCGACGAACAGTGCAACACACAGTGTACTTGTGTTGCTGGGTGGACTGGCGATTATTGCGATACTGCAGAAGACGTCTTTAAGGCTACCGCTGAGGCATCCCCAAAGTCATCGGATATCCTCACTAGTAACTTGGCTATTTCTCACCTACTAGAACTTTTAGATAGTAAGTAACTTGGCTATTTCTCACCTACTAGAACTTTTAGATAGTAAGTAACTTGGCTATTTCTCACCTACTAGAACTTTTAGACGGAAATGAGGACGATAGCTCTAATGTCTGCGCCACGAGCGACTGTGGTCCTCTAGAAACGTGCACGCCGGATGCAACGACAGACCTAGGCTACACTTGCGAGAGCCGTCGGCGCGCTCTGCGCAAGCTCAAATTCGCCAAGGTCTTTTTTGATAAGGTATGGCTATGGTCCAGGTCCCGGGACGCATATTAAATTGACTTGTTAGACTTGGAGTACAGGTTGTACTTGTTTTTGTTAGTGTCGTAACTTTTTTTGCACTATATTGTTGTCGTACAGGAGGAGGTGGAGCATGTTGCAGCTAGTTGATGGTCTATTTTCTTTGCTTTGGCCCATACATTGTGTAGTGAGTCTAAGAAGTAGAAGAAAAATCTACAATCTCTCTAATCTCAAGTAAGCGCCGTTTGGACGATGGGCCAGGCAATCTTCAGTCTGTATGGGAAACTGGGAATGCTTTGCCGACAGTGATGCCATTGCTGCCGAACCAACCGGTCATGCCCGATGAGAAAGCTAACCGCTGCACTGTTTGTTATGAATGCGCAAGGAGAATGACTATTTGTATTTTTTGGTGACACCACTTACTCCAGATGAAGTAACCGTGTGGTGTCAAGAACACACGGTCATAATTTCTGGAAAACAGACGCTTACTTCCTAAGCGACGTTAACGTGAAGCATAAGACTCCTCTTCTACAACTCGTGATCTAGTGACGAATCCGATTGATCTTTTTAACATTCTAACTCCCGCAGAGAAGCAACGGGCAACGGGCGCAAGTGACCCTGTCGGTGAAATGTCCAGTTGACGACACTGCATGTGGGGAAATGCTCAGCGTCCTCGATACCAAACACCGCTACAATGACTGGGCTGACTTTATGAGCAGGGACAGGGAGATACTGTTGTTGTACTCAGTCTGCGTAAGCACCTCTGTACGTAGTACTTGTTGAATAGTGTATTTTTAAGTTTAGTAAGAAAACAGCATAGTTCTAGTTCTTCTTCTTGTTGAGATTTTAGTACTTTAGCTCGGACTTCTAGTGTTTTCAGCCGTAGTTGATATTGAGACTACTTCAATCATTTACATTTATGTCACCTTTTGTTCATACTCCTAGAGGCCTGGACACGTGTGAACTGCATTGGCACGCACGTGAACACAACTAGCGAACCGACCGAAGAGCGGATGCTGTCAAACTGCCCAGCGGAAACGCAGATGGCGTCAGCCTGGAACTTTTTGCACGAAAAGTGCCACTTTCAAGATATCGGACTGGGAAAATTTATGAATTGGATTATCGTTTTCTCGATGTCTGGATCCTCAAGAGGTTTTTTTCTTTCACTTTCATACTAGTTTTTTTCTTTGATCGATGTCATGATGAGGTTCAATCATGTTGTGGTGCATAAGATTGTCTGAATCTATAATTAGAATTTATTTGGTTCATCTGAAGATTTTGTGACCTTGTTCTTTCTTAGTTTGAAGCTCACGTTTCCATTTCCTCATTCTCTAGTCTCTTCAGCCTCACCCTCCCGTAGTAAGTTCCACGACTCCTTTCTTCATGTCCCGGCGTGAGACTGGTCGTGACGAGATGGAGGTGGTCATCACAGACGCTGGTGTAGAGAGTGTGGAGGAGACTTTCCGACCTCTCGTATGCGGTCCAGGTATGGGCATTTGTCGTGCTGCCATCCTGAAATATGCGGACTTGTTCAAGACCTGTCGTAACAGCGCTCCAGGCGAGGTAGGAAAGCTGGCGCGAAGGTACTTTTTTTCGGTTTTTGTCGGGGAAGAAGTGTAGTGTTGATGCTCGAATGTAATTGTGTTGACGGAATGTGTGGTAGGGGTTGGTGATATAATTGTTTTCGTAGGGGTAGCGCTAGCGGCGCAAGCAAATTAAGTAATATTACCAAACAAAGCTACTTGTAGTTCTACGTCCGCCAGTGGAAATGAGAATAACTGACTCCACGAAAAAAACAGAGCCAAGGCGCTGAAGAATTTCGGTCTCGCTTGTGCGAACCCTCGTGGCAAGGCCGTTGTGCGCATGCAGGTGAAGGTGAATGGGCTTCTTGACGAGCTGAGTGCTGTCGAACTCTCAGTGGCGGAGAAATTCGTTCAGAAGAAAATCGAAGATGAAATTCTCTCGAGCAGTTTGTACGAAGATGAGTACGCTGGTAAAGTGGCCGTGCTGGCACGACCAGCGCTGGATAGAATTAATGCGATCAACAGCCGCCTGACGGTTCCGCTAGCAGAATTTGCGCCAACACTGCTCCCGACCAGTCGAAATGACCAGATCGTGCATCCTTGCACATCACCGCTCTGTGCCGTTGCAGTGCAGCCTGGGCCGACCGACGCTGCAAGCGACCCGGCGGCTCAGCTCTTCGTCACGTTCAACAACGCGATCAAACCGGGTCCGTGTTTTAGTGGTACGTACGACCTCTTTGGCGTCGCCCCATGTGAAGTACGGTTGATGCCAGCATTCGCGAGCGCGAAAATTATGGAATTTTTTTAGCCTCTTTGAACAAGACAGTTTTTAGTTATTTTACAACTGTTGGATCTGCTATTTTACAACTGTTGGTGCTGCTAGTACTGCCAGAGCGAGCAGCTCCTGTGTACCATACATAGAACAACGCTGCGAGGAACTATTTGACGGCTCTAAGCTCAACAGTTTCGTGCTCAGCGCGATCGATAAGGAGCTCATTTTTGCTGGCGAGACTTTGCAGCTGCGACCGAAGACACAGTTGGCACCCTTCAGCAACTACACTGTGACCATCACGCCAGGACTCGTTACAAGCGCTAGAGACGAACCCATCGACACTGAGATTAATTATGATGGAAGGGAATTAAGATTTACTGTTACTCCGAGAACAAGAACAACTGACTGGATCGTAAGATGAACAGGGTTTTCAGTTTCATTGTAGACGAAGTATCAATATCTTGCGTTGTTAAAGGCTGACAGTGATTATCGCTTCCTCTGTAATAAATTGTAAGCACCACCACAACAACTACTTACATGGTTCTTCACTTCTCTAAGTTCTGTATTGGTTCCTCACCGGTGCTCCTCGTGGAAGCACGGTAAAGCTGAGTATTGCGGTTGGTTGCGACGACGAGTACACGTGCAACTACATGTCTGACGACATGAAGCAGTACAGCAGCACACCAGTCACGACGCTGATTGAGCCGCTCACATTAAGCGCTGCAAGTTGACCTGTTGAAGAAGCACATCTATCTATGGCCCCCTCAGGGGGGAAAATGATACTAGGTAGATGTCGGGCTCGGGCAACCTGCAACCGCTAATCACAAAGCATATCAACGAGTTCCGTGCAACAGTGACTCCAGGTGCGCTTCAAGCAGTAGAGTCACAAATGGACGCACACAGGCGCAACGCTCTTTTGGTCGCCCAAGGGCTCCCACCGCTGCCACAAGACGACGCTGTTGTGCAGACAGCTTCGGTTATGCTTCTGGTTTCTGAGACAACTGATACTCAACTTGCGAGTCAGTGCTAGAAACTGGCGCTTTCATCTTTGGTAAGAGGTGTAGTGGGGGAAATGATAGAGTAACTTTTCTCCGTTACCCTTACCTCTGCTGAGGGTCAAAAAGCAACGCATGCTGCTGCTAATTTGGATAATCTGTTCTTGGACATTGATCTCTTCTACTTGCTGGTGCACCTGCACATGTTGTATAATCTCTTCTAAGAACTGCGGAGGCGAGGCTCCCTTGGTGGAGACAACAGCCAGCTCATCCACAACGGGAGGCCTCTTCGATGGCTCGCTTATGTCAATTGCCGGTTCTCCACCTAAGGCGCCAGCAGCTAAAAAGAAGGACGCGAAGAAAGCCGCTCCCGAAAGCTCGAACCCGTTTGCGGGTTGGTTCGGGTAGTGATTTGTTACGATTGAAGATGCTAGATCTCCTGAAGCGACGGTGTGCCGTCCTCTTCACCGTATATTATAATCATTGAATATGGAGGATGAATGAAAAGTATCTTCAATTTCAAAAATCAACCAGGCTTCGTCGACTCGCTACTTCTGTGTATGAGCAGTTTGCCCCTTCAGACGACGGCAATACACAGCATAAGCAGGCACGTGCGTCCGACATGGAACCTGGACTGAATCCGAAGTATTTCGAGCAAGATCTGCAGAAAGCGCGCATTGCAGACAGCGTCCGACGCCTTGAGAAGCGCATTGGAACTAGCACAGTTATGGGTGCAGGAAATGAATCTCCAAAATCATCTCGGGAGAAGAAGAAAAGAGAACCTAGCTGATCTCTGCGATGCATTCCCTTCACCTCTAACACAGGGTCGCACCAAGAAAAGAAATCCAGGAGAATGACAGAGGATAAAATCCATGCAAACCTCGATAAGCATCTAGCACAAAGCGTGGTGGCTTGGCAACGACGGTTAGAGAGTAGGAGACTGGTGGTGGCAGGTTCTAGCGGAGGGACTGAAGCACCAGGAGCAACAGCTGGTGATCCGGTAGTGGAGATCCGCGGTGAGAAGAAGGCAGTCTGGGTGCCGCCAAACACATGGCTAACATATGCCAGAATGGTACTACCAGGCACGTTATGCCATGGCATTTATCCATTGGAGCAGGATGAGGCAATCAGGAGAATGATAGTGAAATAAGTGGCACTACTTGTTGTTGTTGCAGCTGCACTTGTGCATGTTTCAGACCGATCTTGTTTGCATTTCCCAGTATACGGGCAAAGTTGTATTGACATTGGAAATTCAATACGTAGTTCTTGACAAGTTCCCGCCTCTACATCAGGTCCCCTTCGTCTGTCTGATGGTTATCGTGGCAATGCTCTACAACGGTTCAGCTGTCCAGTATTGGGTACACGACGCGTGCATCGCAAACGGCGGATACATGCAGTCAATGGCATCGTCATCAGTGCCACAGGAGTTCGCAAAGCAGGAGTACGTGTCGTTTCTAACGGTGGACACCAACTCACTTTCACGAGTACTCCCACCGAAATTGCTGTGGCCACTAGTGACGGCACTCACTGTGACGGGGAGCGGAGCTATCGGTACTAAGTTTGTTGGTCACGACCATTAATTATGTGCGCCGATTTCTTTTTCTATGTTGCCAGAGACGGAGACATATGCCTACGAAATGAAAGCGTGGTCTGTCACACAACTAACTTCTTCTAGATTTTCACATTACCGAAGTCAATCAGGTTATTTTCTCTGCAGCGTGACCGGGGGTACGACTAGCGGCCTCATAGGTGGTGGCATGACAGCACTGGCTAGTTCCTGTCTGTGGGCATCATATTCGCTTGCAGTAGCAACATGGGTGGCTCCATCACACATACCATTTTTCTTATGAAGCCTTGTACATTTAACACTTCTAGCTCGCTGATAGTTGCAGTTTCAACTGGGGACCCTCCAGTGTAATATTTACCAAATGCCGTTCGCCATCTAACTCTCCTCTTCCACTACCGTAAGAAGTGGGGTCTGTGGGTGCCAATGTTCGGCGGCTATTTGCGACCCCGAACGTCAAAAACGGTATGGACACCTGCTGGGCCTTTCAATACGCAGAGTGCGCTTGCAGGAGCAGAAAAGGCTGCATTAGCGCAGTTAGGCGCACCATCATCTCCAACAAGTGGAGGAGCTACAGGAACGGCGATGGGGACCGGAATGTACTATCCGATATTTGTGCATCTAGAGAAGGTGAAGAAGAAGTACGTAGATTTATATTTGAATTTCCATGTTGGATGGATGAGAATGCGAAGTAACTAGATGGCAGACCACCAACACGGCTTTTGCTTTTGGGAAGGTAAAGTAGTTTGTCAGATACGAGACCCTTTTGCCACTGGCAACAGTATCCAACAAACACACCAGGGGCGCTCCAAGTTCGCCGTTGCTGGCAGGGGACTCGCACATGGCAGATTCTAGGGCACGCGATAGGCAGCTAATCGAGCACCAGAAACACGAGCATGAGATGGGCAGCGTTTATGGATGGATGGATGGATAGGTGAACAAATCATGTTGAGTACGCCGAGTTCTTCGCTGTAACCTAACTGACGCACCATCATGGGTATCACTCAGAAGCAAGTAGGATGACGCATACAGAACAACATTTATTTTAACTTAAGAAAGACAGCAGTTAGGTAGAAATATTTCCCTTTCTTGCACGACTCCACGTCGAGACCGTAGCCTGCCTTCATTCCCAGCAGCACAATCCCCGAGAGGGCCAGCATGTAGAATGGCATCGACAGGCTGAGGTAACGATGTACGATGACGGAGAGCACACAGTAGTGCGAATCCCGAAGGCGCCAGGATCAGCGAAGGTGCAACCTACAAGGTTACAAGAGCCGTTCGCACCGGCGACAGCGAATGCGGAGACTGCATGGCTTCTTTCGGCTTTGTGCATGCTATTTTCGGTCGTGCTGATTCCGTTGAACGGACTTCACCTGAACGAAGGGCAATGCTTCACGATACTGCTAGCGATCGGCCTCAGCGTGCTGCTGTCATTCTTCGCGAAAGCACGTACCTACTAGATTTTTTTTTTTTGTGATTTTTTTTGTGTTTGCAGATGATGCCTTTTTTTCGTACACCCTGCCGAGTAAAAGATGAACAAAAAGAAGAGACGACGACAACACAAGACCTTGCACTTTGTCTATTCGCAACTAAATTGCTATTGTCAACAGTTATGGAGTCGATGTTGAAGAGCCACTGCAAGCGGTTTTCATCGAGCGGACATGAGATGCAGACAACGCAAGGTGGCAAGAAGTACCAGGTGCTCGCGACCGGCATGCAGCACTCACCGATGAAGGGCAACGCGATCGCCCCGTTGTAACTGTATGGCCTGGATGTCTGTGGTCCTCTGGTCCTTGTTGTCAGTAGAAAGATTGTGTTAAGATGGTGCATATATGTTCGCCACTTCATAGTTGTAGATGCGGTTTACATCGTATTTTCGGAAGCATTTTGAAAGTAGGAGTTGTGCATCCAAGATCGCGTGGTTTGACCCCCTCTAATCGGAAGATTATAGATCCTCGTTGAGGATTGTACTTTCCTGAAATTTTCCACTGACAACTCCGACACCTTATCACTACATTACGTTCAACCGCTGTACGAAACCGAGCGAAGCGTTTCGTTTTGAAGAAAGATTCACGTGAAGTGCAGGACGTGGAGCTATCGAACATACGCTGCGGTCATCCGGCGCAGAAGGTGGTGGGCGCTAATGCAAATGCTCCCCGCAGGACAAAGATTGGGCTTACAGCACTTTTTCCATGAATACGCGAACTTTTTAGGGTTTTCCCCGTCACTGACATAGAGATTGCAGTTATATAAGAGAACACATTAGGGGAAAGAGCACAGACGGATTCATTTTTTAGCTGCAACGAATGAACTGAGTTATTTCCAGACGCCAACATGCGGGGACATCATGCATGCGCGTATTTGTCCGTAAGAACAAGAAGATGAAGAAGCATAGACCGAGGCTGGGTTACGGCCGAGTGACGAAGAGGACGGATATCTTCATGAGCAGGACGAAAGAGTTTGCTGCTTTGCGAAGCGACTTGTCCATGTTCCAGCAAGAACAGAGCCCTTCGTGATCGGTAGAGACAAAATTTCATATTATTGTCCTCTCTCTGACCTGTTCTGGATTAAACAACCGATAGTGTGATGGATCCCCTACACTTCTGCAGAGCTCAAGACGAGGGAGAAGAAGGACGCGGATAATGAAGAAAGATCCGTATCAACACTATGTATTTCACGTTCATGACAAGTTCTTCATCCGTGATTGTCACCCGAATTTTCTATCTAGAGCGAGGTCTGTGCTCTCCTCGTGCAAATAAAGAGAGCTTAGAAGTGCCGGAGGTCTGAGTGAGGTCCTTTGAGTTGGGAGATCTGAGTAGTTAGGTGACTGTCTTTTTACGCTTCATTTGCGTTTCCTAAAGAACAAGAAGATGAGACGCACAATCACTCTGCTCAGTGCGGGTACGGCCACCGCAGAGGCCGTGTCCAAGCCCAACCCAATCAGGCGAGTCGTTACGCTGCTCCAGGAGATGGCAACTGAAATCGAGACAGAAATCGAGAAGGAAGCCAAGGTGATATTTCCTTACACAACCAGAAACTTTTTGATGCGACTCCTCGACATGGTGATAATTCGTTGTGCGCGTCAATTTGCGGCCCAACATCATTGCCATTTGCGTTTAGAACGATGGCGCTCGATCTGGAGACAACACGGGAAAACTTTCTCCTCCCGACTCTCGGGAGAAAGTGTCCCTTGACTTAAGACTCTTTACAAGTCGCGAAGAAAAACTCCATATACTTGTTGTAGTTGTAGTTCAATCATGTGTAACTTGTCGAGCAACCATAGGAAGGTCACCAAATTTTCCTTGTCATCCCTCAGGCCTACGAAAAGTTCCAGTGCTATTGCAAGAAGAACGATGGTGCATTAGATTCCAAGACAAAGGAGGCGGCAGCCCTCATTAAGAAGACAACGGCAGAGGTCGAGGGACTTACAGGCCAGAAAAAGCAGCTAGCAGAGGAATTGAAAAAGCATAAGAAGGTACTTCACTCCTACCTTGTCTGCAGATGAAAGAAACAGGAAGTAGCAAGATACAGTTTTGATTGCCTTTGGATACATCAACTATCTTTTTGTAGTTACGATCAAACTTTATTCAACAAAAACATATTCTATATCTCGCCTGAACACATCAGGACCGAGCAGAGGCGCAGAAGAAACTAGAGGCTGCAACAAAGCAGAGATCAGAGGAAGAAACCAAATATGATGAAGCCACGAAGGAGCAGCGAAAAACGCTGGCCGATTTAGATAAGGCTATTTCAGCCCTCGAGAAGGGAATGGGAAAGTCGTTTTTGCAGACTGGAGCAGCCGGATACCTGCGCAAGGTGAGACTTTGTTTTTTAGATTCAGGTTTGAGTTCTCTGGTCTGGATTTAGAATTTGGTTTTCGATTTCATGCTTCCTTCGTGTCAGTCGGATGCCAACGTTTACTCGCTTCTAAATACCTCCAACGCCCCATCGCCTAGGTTGTCGAGAGCAACAGTGCATCCATGTCCCTTCTTGACGTCAGCGATCAGGAGACTATTGCATCGTTCTTGGAGAGCGGCAAGGACTATGCGCCAGCTAGCGGTGAGATCGTTGGTATCCTGAAGATGATGAAGGATAACTTCGACGAGTCCCTCGGAGGAATTGTCGGCGAGGAGGAGAAGGCCGTCAAGGCGTTCACCGAGCTCAAGGCTACTTTATGAAAAGGAACAAGATTTGGTATCCGTCTTTCTTTAGATTTAGAAGATGGATAGCTAGACCGGAGTCACCGTCTGAGAGCAGAGGACTGACATCCACCTACTCAGCAAGTCAGATAGTCCATAACCAAAGGGTGCTCGTCCTACTAAGCTTTGACTCTCGTTTCCTCTTTCATACCCTCTGACCGAGCTGATCAAGGCTTCCGGCTCCGCTATCGAGAAGAAGGCAGAGCTGAAGGGACAAGTTGCTGTCAAGATCGTCGAGGGAAAGAACATGATTAGCACTACGGAGAAGCAGATGTCCGACGACATGGCCACGGCTGCCGCGCTCAAGGACGCCTGCGGTAACAAGGGAGACGAGTTCAAGACTCGCCAGGAGGATGCTTCTGCCGAAGTCGGTGCCATCAACCAGGCGATTGGCGTTTTGAACAACGACGACGCCCTTGACTTGTTCAAGAAGACCGACACCAAGGCTCTAGTTCAGCAGAGCGTCAGTCTTTTGCAGACTTCCGCCAGGAACAGTGACAACGCCAAGACCGAACTTGTCCAGCAATTAGAGTCCGTTGCCAGAATTGCTAAGAACCCATCGCTTGCTATGCTCGCATTGACCTCCAAGCAGGCCTTGAAAGCTGGCGTTGACTTCAGCAAGATCATGAAAATGATCGACGACATGATTGTCCTTCTCAAGAAGGAAGCCGAAGATGACATCAAGGCCCGCGATTCCTGCTCCGCTTCCTTCGCCGAATCCGAAGCCACCAAAAAGGACGCCGAGCACGCCATCAAGGGTAATGACGAGTAGAGCCTTCATGAATACAACCTCCATTACTTCTATCTGCTGGGCCGAATCTGTTTCTGGGTAGTTCCAAACCTTAAAAGCAAAACTAAATCTTCGTGATAGGTTCGCCTTGAAAGCTGTCAATATCTAAAATTCGCTTCTGACCAGGTCTCGGATCCAGCATCGACGAACTTGCGGGTGCTATCGAAGCCCAGGCCGCTATCATGGAGAAGAGCGCTACTGATGTGAAGACCGCCCAAGAATCTATGGCTGCCGCCACTGAACAGCGCAAAGCCGATAACGCCGAATTCATCGAGGCCGTCGACCTCAACAAGCAGGTAATAAAAAAAAGATCTCTGTGCTTGGAGATTAGAAGCACACTACAATGCCTCTGAGAAGTTTTGAAGCGAAATTAGTGTGAACCACTCCAGTCTTCATCACTTCATTCACGAATCAATGCAATTACCACCAATTGCCACCAACACCATCAAGTACACCAATTCATGCAGGCCGTCGAGCTGATCGGAAAGGCAAAGAACAAGCTGAACGCATACTACAACCCGCAGCTTGTCCCGAAGGAAAAGCCGGCTGAGCTCACCGCCGAAGAGGAACTTGAGCAGGGATTTAAGGAGGTACTTCTACTTGTTGGGGACTACGTTGATTCTTCATGGAAAATTTAGATAGATGTTGAAAATCCTCAAGCTCATTTCTCAACAATCCTCAACATTTTCCTTGCACAACACCAGGCCCTGATCCAGCCGCACTCTTTCGTGCAAGTGTCTTCTCGCCAGTTGCCAGAGGGTATGCCAGAGACCTTCGAAGGTGATCGCAAGAACAAGGGCGGCAAGGGAGCCTCCGTCCTGGCCTTGATGGACATGCTCGCTAACGACATCAACAAAGACACCGATGCCCTGGAGCACGACGAGACCGTCGCTCAGAAGGACTACGAGGCCTTGAGCAAGGATCTTGCTGAACAGATCGCTGAGAGCACCAAGGCAGGCAACGACGCTGCAGCCTCCAAGGCTGCTGCCGAAGAGGAGAAGCAGACCGCGGAATCCACCCTCAGCATGAAGGAAGAGGAGCTCGCAGACGTCGTCCAGACGATCGCGGACCTGCACGCCAAGTGCGACTTCATCATCGGCGCATTCGAGGAGCGCAAGGCTGCACGCGAGAACGAAGTCGCCGGCCTCGGCAAGGCCAAGGCTATCTTGGCAGGTGCCAAGTTCGACTAAGCAGGTTCTGAATTCGACTATGGAGAGGCCGAGTTGGACCAAGCAGGTACTGGGTTCGACTGAGCCGAGCTCTTGGACCAAGCGGGTGTCGTTGAGGACGGATGAGTTCTAGAAGAAGGAACACACTGGAAGAACTAGTACACACTTCTAGTTCTAAACACTATCAATCCAAAAATCAACAAAATGTACAGTTGTATTAGAATGTATCCAGTCGTTGGAATATCTTGTTTACGCATCATGTGGTTTCGTCGTGTTTCCTAATGTATTTAGAAATAGACTCCCTCGAAGGCTATGCGGGAGTTGTTACACTTTCATCATGTCATCTCAGTTTACTTCACTAAACTTTCTAGCTTAAATTGTTTACATCGTATCTTCTATTCTTATTTGTCGTAGTTAGCAAGCGGCCCATGGGTCGCGGTAGTGCGAGGCACTACAGCAGACATTTCTCTTAGATTATTAGACATTGTCGTTGTATTTTTCATTTTTTTCACTTTTTTCTGACCACTGAGATATTTTCCGAGATGCGATTGTTTGTGGAAAATCTAAATCAGATATTATTATAGGTGATGGGATTCTCTTACGAGAAGGGCAAAAATCAGGCATCAGCTGCTTTAGCCGGATCGGCTTTGTCCCGCCAGATTTTTCTGGAAGCATGGGCTCGTGTTCGAGACAACAATCTCCCCGATTGGCAAAGTGCGTCATGGTGATTGGCGTCTCGACGACGTCCAGGTCGGAGGTTCTGTGCACCTACAGGTTTCAGTCGGTAGCGAATCTGTCGTATCTGTGCCTCTAAGACTATATCTGTCGACGTGCGTGCGGTATTGTAGATATAAGTACTTTTACAGTCCCTACCCCCGCTATCACATAGGTGATTACTTTGTTTTTCTCCCGCGATTTCAGTTTAGTGCGTAGTTTATTCTTTTTAATGTTGACAGTTGCAGTTACACCTGAGGAAATGCAAGTCGAGATCGCAGAGCAACACTAGTGTGGTACCGATTCATATTTCATACACGCTATGCTTAAGTTTTTGTCAAAAATGAAGAATGGAGAACCAGGTGCTTCCCTAGAGGGGATTTCAGTTGTCATTCCGACATATAACGAAACCGAAAACGTGGTCCCACTATGCGAGCGTCTGTTCGCATCGCTGCGCAAGGATCTTCCCCAGCATCCGACTGAGTTACTGCTGGTCGACGACGAGTCAGCGGGCTCGGACGAAACGGAGCGACTAGTACGGGGATTGGCTTCGAAAGGGTTCCCGATCCGAATGCACAGGCGGTACAAGAAGGAAGGGCGAGGGCTATCATCGGCCGTCATGCTGGGTTTTGCGCAGGCGAAATACGAGATCCTACTGTGTAAGAGATGCCCACACTATAACTTTCACCTATCACGAGTACCAGGAAGGTTTAGATGTAGATGAGATACGATAGTAGTCAAGTCTCAATCGATGCATATCAAGGATGTCACACTAACGTTAGATTGTTGTCCCACTCCCACAGCAATGGACGCAGACCTGCAGCATGAACCCGAAGCCGTTCCAGCAGTAGCAGCGCCCGTAATGAACCAAGATGCAGAGTTCACGGTTGGCTGTCGGTATACATCAGGGGGAGGCATTGCGTTCAACTGGAGCCTAAAGAGACAAATTTTGAGTACGTTTCTGTTTACTAGGAACAGATTGGAGGACACTGACTGCTGGATTGACGTTGTATTGCTGACTAATTAACATTGTAAGCTTACTGGCGCACGGAAACGGATCATCCAAAAATAATTCCTTTGGTCCATCAGCTTGGAATCATGTCCAGCTCCGAATCATATCTAGGTCTCGGCGCGACATGCCTAGCATGGGGATTGTGCTCATCACGAGACCCAATGAGCGGCTTCTTCTGCACACGGAAGAGCATACTGAAGCGCGGTGACGGTAAAATAAGCCCGATAGGTTTCAAGATAGGCCTCGAAATTATGGCAAGGTGCGGGTGCAAGGTGCAGGATGTTCCGATCATGTTCCAAGAGCGGTTGCACGGGGAATCGAAACTTTATGGCTTGGAGATTTGCAGGAGAAACTAATAATCATTTAGATCCGACTGCAGTCTGATGAACTTGGAGACTTGCAGGATAAGCGAGTAATTGTTTAGAATCGAGGACTGCAAAGTTTCACGGCTTCATTTTACATCTGCGAAGCAGAACATCGAGTATATCCAGCAGCTTCTTGGCCTGTACTGGGATGGCTACAAAGGCCTCGTCGTCTTTATGATTCTATCAATTCTCCTTCTTGTTGCCGTGGTCATGCGTTTCGTCTCTTCGATGCTTTAGATTCGAGACGATCGACGAGAGATCGTAGGTTCGGATCCGAATATCCGTACGATGAATGCGGAGAGTGGTTGTGGATGCGGATATCGATATTCGCTGCTAATAAATTCTGGTCATCACCTACACCTGGTGCTTCTGGTTTTAGAAAGGAGTTCTTTAGATTACATCTCTCTCAAGTTGTTCCAACCGAGAAAGTTCTAGCAGTTCTTTTGGATTAATACAGGCGAACCGCCACTAAAATAATGTTCCACATATGAAAGAAATGTCGTCCAAATGGTGAAGTTTTTTTCACTGCTTGGCCCCGGAAAGATTATTATGCTCAGACACGCATGGCTGCGACCAGATCAGCTAATACTAAACGAAACTTTTTTTTAGATGTAGAAAATTTTCGTCAGAGACGATTCCGCAAATGAAAAGGATCCAAGAAGATAGACCCAACACAGTTCATAAGCCGTTTCTCTTTAGAAACAAAAATGCTGGATAATGATCATCGAGGAATGACGTTTAGATCTTCTCCCAAGGTCAGAAGATCCATTATTGAAGACCCTGATCGGCTTCAATCTGAATGTTCTGAGTATTGAGATCCTGTGGTACTACTACTAGAGGACTCTAAATCTCTTTTCCAACATACGATTGATCAACTTGCTGGGGAGGAAGAGGATTAAGATCACGAAGAAAAGCACTCGGTCCTGCTAAGCAGTCTTGATGACGTCTATTTCGCACGTAGATAGCGACTCTTCACGCGTCTATAATTCTTATCTTACACGGCAAACAGGGAAACGAGACAACACAGTCTAAAGAGACTAATTCAGCTTCAAAGCTAAAAAATGGCCTCTCTTCTCGGTGTGCATCCGCGTAACTACGGACCGGGCTCTCGCAAGTGCCGCGTCTGTGGTACACTTCTTATACACTCTAATGATTTAGCTTTCGTACTCAAACGGGCTTTCGTACATTCGGGCCTCTGTCTTTAGATTTTTATATCCGCGGTGTAAAGTTTGCTAGTTCACCCACCCCGGAAGAATTATTCTTTGTTGTAAACACATTTCATCACAAAGCAAGTCAGCCATCTTTAGATCTCGCCAGTTGGCGCAAAGTACCAATCAAGTCCTCACATTAGAGAAGAGGCTACTACAGCTTGTGGATGGACTACTACATACAGTTCACTTCTCTACTATGCCCCATTTCCAATATCGTTCTATCAGGTAACAACCACGGCCTGATCCGCAAGTACAACATCAACATCTGCCGTCAGTGCTTTCGTGAGCGCGCGACGCAGATCGGATTCGTCAAATACCAGTAAGCGGTATTTTTTCGATTGCAGAGACGGGGCTACAAAATACCATGCATGAGCAGTGGGGGTGAAGCTGTAATCCGAGCAAAGGTGACATCTGGGGAGATGCGAAGGATGCGACAGCTTGGCTGGAATAAACACACTTGGCAGTCCAACGACATTGCCTCATTTGAGTCAAGCTGACCCCATATCCGTGGTCTTGTGCATGATAGATGTGTCTGAAAACAGCTTTGCTCGGTAGGTGCTGAATTGTTGTCCTAGACTGTTTTAAACGAAACTCTGTTGAAACAAGCTGCACTCTGTCCATGAGTGCAGGCTTTCGAGATACCTTTTCGAGAATGCGTAGGTGTTCACCGGTGCGATCGTGGATGGCTTACGAAGTCCCTCTTCCGAGGTTGCCAGAAAAGCGCCACATCAAGCCCAAAGCAGTTCGGAAAAATCATAGCGCTAACTCGGTCATTGTCGTAAATCTATTTGGGGGCGACGCGCAGGAGTCTTGTAGATACCTACTAAATTGTGAAAAGCTCTTGACTCTACAAAAGAACTGAATAGAAGTATAGGAAGTGCGTCTCAGCAATGACAATCCAAATCTGTGAACAGGAAATCTTGGGTAGAGCCTTGATAGTCCTACTCCTCAGCTGTGTCTCCTGTTTTTTCGTATGATCGCGTGTTGGAATATTTTTCGTGACTCACCTGTGCGTATATTTCGCTGAATATAAGAGAAGAAGCAAATATAGCTTTTGGATTTGTCCACATAATTCTTTTTTGAAAACAATGAGAGCTGCGTACCTCGAGGATCTGTCGCCGGGTACCTCCACAATGTGGACATCCACCCGACGGGCTGATCTAAATTCGTCTCCACCTCTCTCGCGACTTCGGTTTTTTCCAGTGTTGCTACTGTATGTCATCTCGGGTATTTGTTCCTGCTTCACGACACACGTCGCTGCCTCCGGCTCCGGAGGCGAATTTCCCGTCGCAGGCGATGCGGGAGATGCTCCTCCGAATACAGGGGGTAGGACCGATGAATGCGGTTATCGTCAAGGTGAGCAAGACGACGGCAGCGGAGGTTCCGCGCCGGATGAATCCTCTTCTTCGGATTTTGGGGAATCAAGCGATGATCCGGAATCGAGTTCGGATGAGCCCAGTTATAGCGTACGCAGAGGAGGTGAGGCAAGCCACCCGTCGGTATCAGAAGAGTCGGGGGAGCCCGCATTGGAGGCAATCCGTGGTCTCGCTAGTACCAGATCAAAGGCAGATCTGCCTCAAATATTCGCGTTTAGAGGCCACGAGCCTCTCATGGCGTGCGCCGGAGGCCTTCTCACGAATGACGACTTGGTCTCAACGGCACATCCTGAGAGCTATTCTCGATCGTGGGAAGAACGAGAAAGGCAGGAAGACGGACCGCCCGTGATGGGCTACTTGCGACGCGAGCTCCGTCTGGAGTTCGATGTTTTAGAGGAGCGACTCAGAAACGACTGCACTGGAGCGCGGCTGTCCTCCTACGCCGGGCCCATGGGCATGACGCAGCAGACGCCTGCACTGGATGAATGTGGTGAAAAAGGACGGGTCCTCGCAAAGGCGCGGCGTAAGATGGAACAGTTCTTCGCTGTGCCAAACTTGAGGCAATCTCCAGAACAAAAACGCGCAGAGTTACTTCTGTACTCAAAGATGGGAGGGGACTCAAAGAAGATGTCTCCTTCGCATATGAGACAGGATGGACACCAGGTCATCTTCTCGGCTAATCTGCACATTGGCAGCGGCGTTCAAGTTGTCCAACCGAGGGGCTGTCGTAGTGTTCTTGGTTCGAGAAGCACGAATGTACTAGGAGGCTCAAGTGTGATCCCATCTCCGGTGAACTTCTTTGACCAACAGCAACCCATCCGCGCTCCTCGTCCTCTCGCTGGTTTATATGCAGACGCTGAAGACTTGGCCGCAGCGTCCAACTTCATCGAACAAGTTGGTTATTTCAAGAAGTATTTTCGGAGCTGGGTGGTCAATGAGGATGAGCAACGAAAATTGAAGAAGAAGCACTGGAAAGACGTGGTCGAAGCGAAGGCAGGGAATCCTCAGGAGTTTGCCAGAAAATGGAAAGGCGCAACGGAAAATGAAGTGACATGGAAAGTTGCGTTCGCACAAGCGGTGGAAAAGCTTGTAGGGTATTCCGGAACCGGCGACACGTTGATGTTCGTGGCAAAAGGCGGATTCGGAACGGTGTTTGCGCACCGATCTAAATCACTACAGGGCAAAATCGAAGCAGGGATGGAGGAAACTGTGAAGGGGGCTACAGTTCTTGATAGTACAATGAAGCAGCAACACGAACATGAACGTGATACTAGGCAGCACACTGGAGCCGGAGATCGAGCTGTTGGTGGCGTAGCTGATCTGGAAGAGGAGTTAGAAGTTGTAGATCCAGTTTTTGCGAAGAAGCGCCAGCGATTGGCGTGGAAAATGTTCAAGCCCGGACGCGAAAGTTCCACCAGGCAAGGCGGCTCCAAAACAGACGTGATGAAGGATCTGAGGGAAATCGTGATTCATCTCTTAGTCCAGTTTCTAACCGATGACGGAACCAACGCATGCGTCCCCAGAATCAAACGTGTTTTACTGGTTCCGAAGAAGTTTCGAGAGGATAAATCTTGTGACGGCCACCTCCAGAAACAGCAGATGAAAGGCGATGAAGGAGACGGAGATGGTTCGACACCACAGGCTCAAGCAGCTACAGGACAAAGTGACGCTGGGCCAAAGCGACGCTCTTTCCGTGAAGGGGTCAAGAAAATATTGCGAAAACGATTTCAGAGGAGATTTTCTGCGCCAGAGGAGCCTGTGGATGAGGGCGGTCAAGGAGAAGGAGGTCGAGTAGAAGGTGGAGATCCTGCTGATGTTGAGATGGTGGGAAGCATGATGGCCGAAGATGAAGGTCGTAATATACCTGATAAACGGGAAGACGAAGAACATCGTATTGTTGATGTGATAGAAGAAGATGAAGGAGCAACACCAGCTACACCGAAGGAGCAAGCACTATCTGAAGAGGAGCGGAGGCGTCAAGAGGAGGAAGAGCGTTACCAACTTGGCGGGGAGATTCGTATTGGGCAACTGAAATACGTCATCCTCGAAATGGAACGCTTCGATATGAGTGCTGATGACTACACAGACCACATCAAGTTTTTAGAATACTGGCAACCGGTGCTTTTTCGAAGGCTCAAGGAGAAAACGATCAGAGAGGGAGGATCAGACGATCCGAGCAAAAATGTTAAGAACAGCAGATGACACCTTCGCCTAATGCAGCAAGCTGCTCACCATGTTGGCACAAGCTTTCAGGCGGTTCCTCAACTGGGCTCGCCTATCCCTGGCTTACCTTGATGTAGTACAAGTTCATAACCTTTTCTAGACAAGGACTAGTTGTAGGAGAAGCAGAGGCTCCATATCATCTTTTGGCACAGAGACTATTTTCTAATAGGTACTTACTATAGAATTGGTATTAGAACAAGCCTAAAGGGCAGCCCTTTCTAATACTGCTGCTCTCAAAGCGCTGCTGGACCAGGCTGGAGATCCCGACTCGTTTAATAGGAGGGAGATTGTAGGAGGGAAGATCACCAAGGCTGGCGCTATGTGGTTTGAGAAAGACAGAATGCTACTCAACCGAGGTCTGCCTTTCGCGGCTGTGCTTGGTTAAGGCTTTCACTAATCCTAATGCGTCTCCGACTGCGTCCTTGCAGTTGAGATGGAAGATTCTGGCTAGCTCGTGTCTAACTTAGAGTCGGAAAGTGCCTAGCTGCGATTCACGAGTGGCACATCGCTCATGCAGATTTTAAGAACCTAAATGTTGGCGTTTTCTTTCCCTACAAGAGCAGACCTGGTAAAAACAGGGATCAAACCGACGGAGATCATGGCTACCAAGAAGGAATGTACTACACGCACATCGTGCCCGACGCAGAGGCAGCTGCTACTGTGCTGGACCGTCACGAGATGAACGTGGCTTCGAGAACGAAAACGGAGGATTTGGATACTGCTACGCCGACTCGTGCTGGTCGTGGTCGGAAACAGAAGAAAAAGCTTGCGACTGGAGGATCATGCAAGAGCAGAAAACCAGATGGTAATGGAGGACTGCCTGCTGGCTTTGATCTAGTGCCTGCTGAGGAAGATGACAGAATCAGATCAGATCAAACAGAAGAATGTGAGAGACAGAGACTCAGACAGCAAGAATCAAACGACGCCTTACTGCTGCAGCAGCAACTTCAACTCGCGGAGCAGCAAGATCCGAGATTTTATGAAGCGAGCTGGGTGCTGACGGATTTCGGCATGTCTAGGACGTTGAGGGATCAGATGGTGGATGGAAAAGTGTCCACGACTGGTGGCACAGACACTTGGCAGGGGCCAGAGGATGTCGGTTTCGGCTGTCGTGAAGCACGTGACGTTCGTTGGATCGCGGCTCATGAGGCAGATGAGACTTCTGAAGTGGGACGACAAGGTGTAGCTGTAGAGGACATGAAAATGTTGAATACAACAACAGCTTCGGGGCAAGACCTGGTGGCACTCGAACAACACCAACTGGTAGCTCCTTTTTCAGGCCAGATCCTCATAGACCAGCAGCAGACGAAGCCGAAAGGCAGATGGGATTTTTATACTGGAGAGAAGGCAGATCAGCGCGTTGTGTACTGTTTGCTTCCCCCTGAGCACGAAGACCGTACGCAAGAAGAACAATTGAAGAGAGCAGAGAGAGAGGGACCAACATTATGGATATGGGAGGTGAAATGAAAGATAAGTTCGTACTAGTACGTTTTTCACTCTTGAAGGAGAAGTTCAAGTTTCTCGACTATCTGCTTAATAAGCTTTAGTTTGTTTTCTGTAACTGTAAACACTACGCGTACGCCCTTTCGATTAAAGTTGGTACTTGTCCTAGTGGTGAGGTAGTAGAGTTTCTGCTGTTCTTTTAGTTTTTTTTTCTTCATCCCCATCCTCTAATGCAATCATCAAGATTGAGATGGAACCGGCCTCACACTGTGGAAGCCCTGATGGAACGTGACACTTTCGCTTTTGGTCTCTTTGCACGGGAGATGGACATCGGAACGAACACGTGGGAAGATGAATACCAACCGAGTATTGATGCAGGAGATGCGGAACGGAAAGCTTTACACACGCTGAAGCTTTTCAAAAAATACAGAGGTGCGAACATCCCGCTGTACTATGGTGGTCCCAAGCTACTCGGCAAAGGGTGGGTCGAAAATCTTGCGAGGGTCGACGCAACCCTTACGCGGAGAAACCTGGAGACGGATGCGCCAGTGAATCCAATGTTCCTGCTTAGAGGTGATTCCTGGACATTTTGGCACGAAAACATGAACGACCAGTGGGACTGGAGTATATTACCTATAGTATCTATACAGTACAAGTACCAGTATAAGTACTAGTACTCCCGCTCTTATTTTTTTGACTTTGACGAGAGTCCCACTCTGTCCTTCAACATGAGTGCATGTGGTGAATGTTGTGGTCGTGCATTATAGTAGTGCAGTCGTGCTGTGCATCCACCACAGTCGTGGCTTCGACGAACATTATCGTGTAGAATTGGAATAATCTTCGTCGATTCCACAGAATCATTTTCACCCACAGAATCATTTTCACCGCAACTGCAACACAGCTGCCATGGGTAACTATCCTCCGGATTTTCACGTTAATGACGAGGTTTGTACAGTAGCCAACGGCATGGAGCTGTGGAGTCGCAGCGTAGAACACGGAAAAGCAGGTGAACCGAACCACAGCCCGGTCGGAGAAATTGTAAAGATGTGCAATTATGGATTGTCTTGTCTTCAGTTGCCATTGATGAAGAAGTTTTTTGTTGATTTTTTGAACCCGGTTTTTTTTGTGCACCAAAGGACCACATGAAAGGCGAGGTCGTTGACATTTGTCCAGTGAGTTCTTAGGCTTCAGAAGATTCTTCTTCATGATCTTCTAATGTTCAATGCCGTTAGGCTTCCGCCAGGACCGCGAATGGTCAGAACAACTTTGTCTCGGCACCGTTTTGATGACGAACGGTTTCACGGAGAAAGCGAGCGCCAAGATTCACACAGCGTTGCTGCGTGCTTTCGCGCCAATTGATGAGTCTCAAGGACCCAGACAAGACGTTCCCTTCCCGGAAATCAAGCGGACGCCGATCCCAGCGTTGAGGAGATACGACGAGTTCGGCGATGAGATAAAGGAAGAGCCAAAGAAGGAGCAAAGTGGCGACCTGGGAACCCTGGAAAAGCCGATTATACGGGAAGCACCTTGTGTAGGGAGAGGAGATGTGGGCTGTGCCAGCTCTCTGGCAGCTGTCTTTTATGGTCTAGTATAAGTCTAATCTTTTTATTTAGATTTACGTTCAAGCATGATTGAGTTTGAGTAACAATTTAATGGTGAATCCGAACCCGAAGAAGGTGGTGGACAGCCATAGCAAGAACGACGTACGCATGACGCTAGTTCCGCCCACAGGTACACGATGATGATTTTCTTCTAGGTCTAATCAACTCAACCGCGGATCGGCAGGACGAGAAGCGGAGAGAACGCAAAGACGCCTTGTAGTTCCCAACGTGATGACCAGAAGCTATTGAACAGTCAAGGCAGTCCTCCTTATCCTACCAGCACCCATCCTACGATGCCGTTTTTAGAAAGTCCTGCTCCTAGAGAGAAGGACATCAAAGGTAACACTGTCAGTGAAGACAGGACTGTGTCGTATACTGGAGAACGACCGATGCGGATGGAACAGACGACGGTGGAGCGAGGGATGCAGCCTGGCTCTTCCCCTACTTGTGCGTTTACGCAGGAAAATGACGATGAGGCGATGCTGGGTAAAGAACCCCTCATGGAAGAGCAGGCTTGGTCTCCATTATCTTCTGATCCAAGAGGACAAAGATTAAGGCTAGGTTGTGCAAGAAATCCATCTTCACTGTCATCTTGGTGCCGTGTTTAAAGGGAAAAGGAGATGGAGACCCAAGATGCTGCTGAAGATGGACCTCGATTTCTCTTAGTTCTAAAAGAAACAGGAAGGAAAGCAACAACCCTGTCGACCTCTAGCACGCGTCCGAAACGACCTAGAATGATGGAGATAGTGTCGGTGTTAGAGAGCTGCCAGTTACACGGAAATCCATCCATTCAGGCCGCTCAGCAACGTCGACATGGTAGGATGCCTTCACTTTCTTCTTATAGCGAGAAAAAGCGACTTGGTTTTTTGGACGAGTACTACGACGAAACTGCTCCTCATATTTGTGGAACGTACTACCAGGAGAAACGACAGCTAGATTTGTGCGGCCCGGAAGATGGCTTCTATGATTACTCACCAACACTAAGCACTTAGGAAAACACGGCTGCAGGCCACGATACTGTGAATGATGTGACCGTTCAGACTTACTTTGGAATAAATCTGAAGTGGAAGTCTCCGTCTCCATCTCTTGCATGATGAAATTGAAAATAGAATGCACTGACGAGGACGAGTACATGTCGTTAATAAATGATAACTATTTGAACAACCTATATAATCGAATCGGCATAGGTTTACGTTAACAAGATAATGATTTGATTTGAAGCTACGGAATAGAAGAACGTCTAACACCTAACAGCGTTGTGGAAAATACTAAGTCGAAAAAAACACTCAACGGACTCATAAAAATACGAGTCCGAGTGTAAGAATTTTTTCGTTTTTGTTTGCTCCTTCGTAGTATTAACGCTTTTGTTATGCGTTGTAACGTTCTGAAACTTGACATGAACATTCCTTAACATTGCGCTTCACATTTACGTCTTCAACATCAAAGCGCGACATTTTTTTGGACAACAATTCCTTACGTGCAGGAATAATGACATTGAGTAGATCATTCTGGAATTTTCATGTAGGGGAATTCTATCACCCCGCACACACTGGCCGAACACTGAGCACGAAAGGCTTGATTGTTCGTTTTGCACGCACGATATTTTGTGCTGACGCGCGAGCTTTATGATTTTTTCTTGGCTGACGCGGATCACTGTAAACCTAGTAAACCTCGATTTCAACCTCTACATGTGAGATGACAACACAGAGGACTTGTTGAAGATCATGAGTGATTGAGATCGTGGTGGGTCACTCAGGGGAAAGTAAATCAGCATGAAATATTCTAGAAGGACCGCCACTAGTACGACAAGAAGAAGAAGAAGAAAAAGATGAATTTGAGTGCTGGCGGACACGATGCAGCGTGGATGAGTGCCAGCGTGCCGTTGCGTGGAAGTGCAAGTACCGCACCGGCGTCTCCTGTTGCAGAACAGCACCACAGCGCTTCAGCTCAAGTTGAAGCTGCGACGACAGCAGGACAAATTGAAGCTGTGACGACAGCAGGACAAAGGGAAGCTGCGGCTGCAGATCGAGTCGTGACGAATAATGTTGGTCGACGCGGCAATGGTCGTCGAGAAATGAGCGTAGAAGTCGGCCACGACGGCGCACGCGAAGCTCGCGATCGCGAAGATGTGCTGCCCCAACAAGGCCATGTTGATCATGAGCACAGAATACTGCGAATGATCTGTCGTCTGGGATTGACGGCGCTGTTCCTGCACTCAGTGCTCTTCCGAATAGTGCTGCTTGCCACCGGACATCAACTGTTCCTCGTCTCAGACGTTTTATCAGGGTCCCTCCTCTGCGTCGCAGGCGTGTTCTTTATGAAGGAGGACAAACTCTTACGCTATCCGTATCGTCTACTCAAGCGATGCCTGCTATTCCGCTGTTGCCCAAGTGGAGCTCTTGATTACGCTCTTGATTAATAGAAAGATGATGATACGAATCTACTCGGCAATCTGCCTAAGATTTCTTGATTAACAAATAAAAATATGTATTTCATCTCCAAGCCCAAGGGGACTTCTTATGGTTATGGATTCAAGTTTCCATAGATATGCATATCTACAGCTGTCGTGTTGTACGTCGAACGCGGCTTTGATGTTCTCATCCTGGGATCTGAAAAGATAACAGGTAGTTGTGATTATACGACGGATACTTGTGGCAAGAAGTACTTAGTTACTTGTTTTGAGCTCGTCCTCGTCTTCTAACTTGTGGGTGGCTTGTTTTTTTGCTTGTTCTGTTTCCTGTCAGGCATGGGAGACGTGTTCGAACTCGGACAACGGCCATTACCTGCTCTCGCGCGGACTTACGAAACGCGTATGCTCTTGTTGGATTGGATCTCGGCAGACGAGGAACAACGGCTAAAAAAAAGGCTTGATGGTAGTACTACTAGTACTATGATTTTTGCTGGCCGAAAAGAGAAAGACAAGTCAGCTCCAGCAGAGGACGTCGCAGAGATGAAGATTCATTCATCTGATCCGAGCAGTCAGAGGCCCGTAAAAGTTGTTGCACCTTCAACATCACAGATGAGGATGAGGAAGGGTGAAGTCGAGTCCCAAGATGAGCAGGAAGATGATGTTGATGCAGAGGAAGCTGATACTAACCAGGGGGGCCAGGTTCACGATGACGTATCAGAGATGAACAAACAAGTTGTGGTCAGGAGTCCTGTCTCCCGAAACCGTGCTAGCTTAGAAGAGACAAATAAAGCTTTGCAAGTTCTCGCATCTTTGCTACGCAACGGTCGTGTCGATGAAGACACAGCTGCAAATGAAGAAAAGGATGTAGCAGCTGCGCCACCTGCATTTGGAGGTCGTCCGAGAAGAACGCCTGCATTAGACCCGCTTAGCGAGGATCACGGCTACAATATCAAGAACTTCTTGAATCCTCGACGCCGACTTTTTTCCGCGGATATAGTGGCCCCGGGTATGCACGATCTCAACGAGGCGGAAAGCGGGACGATTGGTCACACGCCTAGTAGAGAGATGTCTTCTTCCGCCAGGAGTCCGAGTCCTAGTGCAGCTGCTTCCAGTTCGACAATTAGTCCCAGCACACCCGCATCGAAGCAACGATTAGTCCAGCTTCTTGCTCGTATGCAGCCAGGAGAGAGGCGGGTTTTGCTGCGGCTTGCGGAGCGGATCGAGCTTCAAGCAAAACTTCTGGTAGTAGTTTTGGCGATCGAAATTTTTTTGAAAGTAGTGCTATGCATTTCAAGCTGGAAGCTGACAAAAGCGGAAGCAGTCGGACGAAGGGATTTGTTCACCAGAAACCTAAGCCTAGGAGCAGGAGGTGCTCCTCAGGGATCGCATGTATGGCGGTGACTATAGAGAGAATTTTTTCTTTTTGTGGCCTCGAATGAAGATAGTTCTGCTTTTCAAGAGTTAATTAATTTCGTTTATTAAGTTTAAGTTGTTTCGTAAAAACTTGTAATGCCACAAGCGGCGCATGTGCACTTCGCTAATAAATACAGAAGTCGTTTTATCGCAACCTCCAACAACAAGGTGGACGTGAAAAGTCAAAGTCCTTCGTCGTGAGTCATTTGTTTCTCAAGAAGTCGCCAGGGAAGTCTGAGGCAGATTGCCGAATAGATTCACACCATCGGCAAGCTAGAACGGGATAAGCTCTTTTTTATACCTCTTTCATTTCGCTTTCCTCGTTCGTCAAGCGGAACACAGGGTAGTGCGCAGAACGGATTGCCGCCAGTGCCTCGCAACGCTCCGAGCATCAGACCCTTTCGCCCCTTTGAGGGTACCGGTTTCCGATTGTCAGATACCGAAGGCGATGTAGCAGACGTCGAAAGTGAAGTTGCACTGGTAAACGTGCGAGGAGCAGAAGAAGACAACAAGACGAGGAAAGACGTTCTTTCGGATCGTGTGCCTACAGGAGTGGGCGAGGATAGCAATATCGAATTGACGAAGGCACCACTAGCAGTCCATGACGGAGCAGCGGTTGTTGTCAGAGAGCAAGTGTGAGCTAGTTTCCGGTGAAACTCTCGAAGAAAACTCTAAGTGTGGATTTGTCTCCTGCAGGCATGGTTTGTGTACCTGCATTTCAGTACAGTGGCCCACTGTCCTTGATGATGGGACAAGGAAAGGGATGAATCGACTTGTTGTTCGACAGGAATGAAAAAATCAAAATGAAAATGCACACACGACCCTTCTAGTGTGGCCCACTCAGCATGCTGCTTCACTCAAAATTCAAATCTTGCATAATCTTGTTCCTCCAGCAGTGATCGTCCTGATGTTCAGTGGTGGAAATCCACTCCTTAACTTTTAACTTATTCTTACACAGACTATAACTACAATTTCACGATCTATTTTTCACAAAACTGTGTGAAGCGAAAAACACACAGCAAGCATCAGAATTAGCATTTGGAAACTACTTAACAAGAAGACCAACCAAATCTTCACATGCAGCAGGGCTGGTAAACGTAACTTTGTTGTGAATCAGAATCTTCTTTAGGTTCGTAAAGTCTAGATGAAAGAAGGTAGATTATCTGGAAGATGGAACAACACAGTTGAATTTCTTCGAGTGGCTGGATTTTCACTGGTCATGTCTGACATTGGTCTGTGGTCTTACACAGATGTTACGCAGAGCTGATTCAAATTTTAGCGTTTGCCTTTGTTTAGCCTAAGGAGGTTTCTTGATATTCTAGGGCTAAGAAGTTTCTTCTTTATGCTACTGCCTCATAAAGTTTGATCATAAAGGTTGATACACTAGTACTAGTTACGGCTGTTCATGCTCTGCTATCTGGATTCTTTGTGGAGTGAGCATCTAGATCTACATAAAGTGGGAGACCACGCAAGACATTTTCATTTCATATTGATACATACAGTTTGGAGGTTGTTATAGTTGTGCACAACATGCATAGTGTATCCCGATGGATAGCTATACTCTATTCGTATTTATTTTTCTATGAACACAAAGAATGCAGGGGTAGTTCAATTTTTTTGTTGCTGTCCGAGAAGATTTAGCCTACAGAGAACCGATACCGATTCTTGTTCGTTGCAGTGGGACTGCGTTCAACTGGCCTTCATCACTCAGTGGGAGTAACTCCTTCAGCGCCTCGTTCACGCATGACCCGCTTCTACTTGCTTCTCAATACACGGCAAGGGAACTACAAGCGTCCCGAACACACTACACCTTTCTTTCACACGACAGAACCAAGAACTAGACTACCCTTACTACGAAGAAGCCAATGCTATAGGTCTACTGCAAAAGAGCAAGTAGTTGCACTAGTGGACAGAAACAAAGAGCCACGACCGTAGCAGTTGCACGATAACGGAAGCTGTCTTGATCGAACCTCGTCATGTCATCGCCAGGCAACCACTCAGCAGGAGCTGCGTCGCAGCAAGCTGCTGGGCAGCCGCAGGACTCTGAGTCGTCACGAGCGAGCAGTGATGGAAACCCAGCAACCCCACGCTCTGTAAGTGCTGCGAGCTTGCGAACGGACCTGTGTACTACTGTTGCGCCACAATCAATTCGAAGCGCGTCTGTAGCTGACCGATTATTGCAGGAACACCTTTTGTCGTCCAGTGACGCTGGCGAGCGTCAATTCAATTTATCCCCAAGCGCTCCTTCGTCGTCCTGCTCTGTATTGGGGGCAACGTCATCAACGGCGCCAAGGAATGGACTAGGTCTTGTATCTCATCTTATGGTGATAGTTTGAGGGTAAAAATTGATTATCCATCGATTATGATTGAATCGTTTTTGGTGTTTGCATCCTTGCAGCAACTGCAGGTTCTAAAGCAGCCTCCAATTAAGAACAGTTAATGTTAAGTCTGGGCACCTTCCTGAATTACTAGTTCGTTATCGAGTTCGCGAAAATAAGTAGAGGTAGACCGAAAAAGAAATTTTTATTTGAATTTGGTCAAAAGGAATGTTCGAGAAATTCATAGTTACGACTGCAACAACTGCTTAATGCTTAAATATTTGAACAACATCCACCTCTGCGTCTTCTAAGTTATCAGATGAAAAGCTGCTTCCCGGCGAAGCTGTACCAGGTGGTGTTCCTGCTACCTCTTCGTCCAGTAATATGATTGGACGATTGCTTTCGCGCGTCGCCCGCGAGGTGGACCATGGGCGACCGCCACCAAGTGAGCATGACGACGGACGCGTTTCCACCGCGCACAGCTTCACGTCGCTTATGTTTGACGCAAGCGGGAGTGAACGCATGCAAGAGTCTCCACCGTTTTTGAGAGGTAATAGGGGCATCGGCGATGATGAGGCAGATCAAAAAATAAGAGGCGCTGGTGGACGAGGAGGAGCGTCTTCTAGTTCGACGAGCGGGCCCTCGAAGGCAGCGACTAATACTCTAGGAGGCCTGGGAGTCGGTCACGGCCTTGTCCTCCGCAACGGACGATCCTCAGTCGGATGTGGGGTTCTTGGTGAGCAGGAGGACGCTTCGATATTGCCACCTCACGTCGCAGGTGGCGGCCACGACGACACGTCGGTCAATGATCCGGGAGTCGGACACCAGCACAACCGGGATCGAGGTTCAGATGCGGAGAGTTTGCACCGGGAACTAGACATGCTACGGAAAAGCAATGACAACATATCGTGGTCCTTTCCGAGTGGCTCTCCCCGCGCACTTCCGTCGAATTTTCTGTCTCCGCGTGCGGCAACCGGCGGACATCACAGTGCCGCACTGGAAAGTTGGCAACTTACGCATGCGGCCGAAGACACGAGCAACCTCCTAGCAGCAGCCGGGGTAGTTGGAGTAGATGCTCCAGGAGCGGTTGGAGGCGGACCCGGTGACCGCGTTGAGGTCGTGGACTACAACGAGAGTAGCCCAGGCAGCCAGCGACGTGGTCCTGCTTCGGACCGGAGAAGGTCCTCGCAGGGAAGAAGTTACTCTTCGACCGTGACCGTGGGTGGCATGCTTGGGCCGGGTGTTGGGTCGCCAGCGGTGTCCCCACTTGCAGGTGGAGCCGCAGGCGTCTCATCTCTAGTACACCACCCAGAGGACAACATGGTCCTAGGCGGAGATAGCAGTTCTTTTCACGTCGGAAACGCAGGAGGGGCTGCGACGTCTCCAGGTGGAATGGCAGTAGCAAATTTCGGCGGCACAAGGACGCCTCCCAGTGGCGGGGCGCTCGCAGGAACACTAGATCATGCCACGTCCTCGTCAGCTGGAGTTGTGAGTCCTGACAGCAGTGGACCACCGATCGGACAGCCGCTTCTAGAAGGTGGAGGTTCATCTTCGGTCGGCACAAATGTTGACGCGGCTGGGACGAGCGTCCTGCCACCGCCGTTGACATCTCACCTGCCCATCGCACGCATAGAAGACGACGAGAGCTCGCCCCGCAGCACTGGCGCCGCAAGCGGCGGCACGCGGGCGGGTCGGGTCGACGAAGATCTGATGATGGAAATGCCACTGGAAGAAAGCGAACATATGTTAGATGGTACGACAAATTCAAATGGAGGTACAACCGGAGGACGTGGGCTCACTGCAGGAGGCCTCCAGCAAATCAGTGATCGTAGAATGAATGACGTCGTGGACCATCTCCAGAATAGTAGACCCGGCTCCCCCAACAACATGAATGTTCCTACTTCCATTCAACGACCTGCGATGGAGCTGGATAATCAACATGGAGTTGTGGAGAATCAGATCATATCTGCTGCTAGTCGAAGTGGGCAACATGATCCCGGAGTGGATGATGCGGGTGTTGCATCCTCCACCTCAAGTGCCGGCGCTGCAAGACTGCCTGCCTCTGACGCGGACGAGTTGGAAGCTGAGCTTGCGCTCTTTCGTGGTGGAATTCACGGCAATGACTCATCCGGTGGAGGTGGAGGTGAGAGTCGCCTTTTCTCGCCAGGCGCAGGAGGAACCAGGGCTCCTGGTGCATGCATACCTCCAGGAGACCCCAGGACCGTTCACCAGCGTCCTCTCCCAGGAGACGGTGGTGCGACGTCTTGCTTCGTGACGGGCGCGGCCGCGGCCGGTCACATGAACAAATTGTTAGCGGGTGGTGCGGGCACTAGGGAGATGACAATGGGAAGCGGCAAGCGGAGGCGGAGTGTAGAAGTGCGCTCGAACGCCGCAGCGAGCAATGTGAGCACGACGAAAAGCCCTCTGTTGCGAGAACTAGATGCGATGATCTTGAGTAGCGACCGCGAAAATTCCTGGAGGCAATCGGCACCACCGCAGGTGTCTCCTTTCCAGATGTTGGGCAGTGCCAAGGGGAACATTCACGAGCTCGACACCGGAAGTGTGGCTGGCAGTCTGAGCATGGGCTGCTCCGCAGCGCAGCTGCAAGCACAGTTAGATGCGCAGAACGCCGCGCAGCAGCCAGAAGCCTTCGTGCGCGCTTTACGAGAGAAACTAGGACTCGAAACCGTCTTCGCGAAATCGTCGAACACCTATACCACCTCTCTGAGCAACCTGCGCAAGTGCTGGGACACACGCAAGGCCCTACAGGAATTTCTAGCCAGTGAGCGCGCCCGTGGTGTCGGAGCTGGCCATTCTTCGGATTTGAGTGCGCATGCGAACGCAGAGTGCGCACTCCAATTTGCGCAAGCAGGAGCATCTACTACAACTGGCGCCGAACTTTCCTCTGCGGCCGCACCAGGCGCTAGCAGTAGTTCGACTTCCGCTGGAGCGCCAGAGAGCAGACTCCTGCTTGAGGAGCACGGAGGCGGCGGTGCTTCTACCGCATTCGGAGGTGCTGGTGAAGCTTCCTTCGCAGCTCGTCCTCCGCAGATTGGGAAGGTAATCGTGGGTGACACGGTGAACCTGGACGCCACACCAGAGGAGCGACGGGCATTTTTGGCCAAGCTTCGCGCGGAGCTGGGTGCTTCCGATGCAGTAGAACGAGGAGCTGGCGCGGCCGCGAGTGCGAGTCCGTCTTCGTCTACCTCCTTGTCGACAGCAGCAAGGTTAAAACGGGAGGACCCAGAGGACAGCGAGAGCGGCTCTTCCGAGGAAGACGACGATGACGAGAGCGATGAAGACGGAACCGGAGGCAACCGTGAGAACTACGACACAAGCGAAAATGAGACACCAAGAGGGACCAGTACGACCTTACATCCTGTTCCTGAAAGCGGAGAGCCAACATCCGGAGGTGGAGACGCCGCTGCCGGATCTTCCTCGACAGGCGCACAGCATCCTCTGGCCGCCAGCGTCGGAGCTTTGACCACGATGCAACGGGACCATAACTTGATGCGTATCGACCTTCAACAGCAGCAGCAACAACAACTAGCAAAGTGGCGTCGCATCCAGATTCACCAGGTGCCCTTTCTAGTGCGGCTCGTGGGAGCTGGGACCCTGGACGGCATCGAAGGCATCGCACTCTGTGCCGGATTTTTCTCGAAGCACCGGTACCTAACCGATGCGATGGCAGATATGGAGTTGGCGCAACGGTTGGCGCAAGTTGACGGTGCGGCCCGCAACTTCGCGTTGCTGATCCTCCGAAGCGGTCGGTTTTCAGGTGCCATTTTCTCCGCGGTCGATGGCCGCTTGCTGCTGCACAAAAACTTCCGTCGGTACACAGTGCGGGCCAAGCAGGGTGGCGGACAGAGCGCCAAGGACAATACCGGAAAGAGCATCAAATCTGCGGGATCGCAGCTGCGTCGCTACGGGGAACAGCAGCTAGAAAACAGCATGAGAACGCTTTTTCAGTCGTGGCGCGGCGACTTGCGGTTGTGCGGTGGCGATATTTTTTTGTCTGGAGGTCACGACCAAATATCGACCTTAGTCAAGTGTCTGCAGCCCGTGGTCGGCAGCACAAGTGATGGCAGCGCTCCACTCGAATACAAGAAGCTCCCGATCATGGTGAACAAGCCAGCACTGGCCGAAATTGAGGCCTTAGCACTCCAGTTGAGGACGGTCCATATTTTCAGGCAAGGTGACTTATGGAAACTCCTGCAAGGCTCGGGAGGCGCTAGTGGTAGTCCTGCGAATCTTCAGCAGGGTGCGGGAGCAGGTGGGGTAAACTTGTCATCAGGAGCGCTGGGTGGAAGCAAAGCGAGAGATGGAGGAGACAACAACAATGCGGGTTCATCGAAGAGAAAAAAAGTGAACGTGGAAGAGGCCAAACCAGCACCAGCACCAGAGTATCACTCCGACGATGACCGGGAATTCTCAGCATTGCATCGTGCTGCTCGAGATGGCAATGCGGTTGAAGTCGAACGATTGCTTACTGCGTACTGTGAGAAACAGAAAGCGAATCCACCAGGGCAGAGGAGAAAGAGTCTACTTGATGAACCTACTAGTGGGGATGCAGATGTACCTACTTCAGAAGCGATCGGAGCAAATGCCTTCTCCATGAGCCCAGCTGGTGAGGATTCCACTGTTTTCGCGCCTGATGCTAGAACCGCTAAAGATCGACGCGAAGCAAAGCTGGAAAAAGAGGAACTCACTAGTTCAGCAGAAGCTGCAAATGGAAAGATGCTAGGCCGCGGGCAACAGGCTGGTACCAGCGCCGTGTCGCAGCAGTTGCAAACAGGAAGAACCCATCAGCAACAACTTTCAGCAGGAGCGCCGTGTCCTGGTGGAGTCGATCAAGAGCACGATAAACAAGACGAAATGCAGCGCAATCACGTCGCCAATATTGATGAAGATGGGGACGTAATTTCGCCAGATCGCTTCCAAGAAGACTCGGCTCCCTCTCCGTCCTTCAAACGAGGCAGCCAAGGGTTGTCCGGCCCACACCAGAACGTCGTCCCCAATCGCTCTTGGGACCTAGAATCGAATTGGTCAGCTAATGCAGCAGCAGGCGGGTCGGACACTACGGAGATCCGACAGGAGTATCGCCACAATTACACCATAAGCACTGGAGGTGCAGGAGGATTGCTTAGTTCGACTCCGAATCAAAACAACCGTATTGGAGGTGGCACCAGTAGTTATCTTCAGGCCTCGCCTATGGCTGGGTTGCCTGGAGGTCGTAGTGGAGGGCTCTTTGGACATCTTGGCGCTTCAGGCAGTAGCGGACGTCGATTCTCGAATTTTTCGAGCGGTGGAGGGAGACAACATGGCATGCTTGGTGCGTTCGGGATTGGTTTGCGAACGGAGCTGCCGCCTCTCGAGGAAGCTGGTATACTTATAACTACCTACATTTTTGGTGAACAAATTTTTTAGTTTTAGACACGAGGAGAAGGACACGAAAAGGACACTCATAAGCTTCGTTGGTTGGATGAGGCGGTTACACTAGTATTCTTTTCATCTCAGAATCCTGTCCAAATCAAAAATCTTCCAGGTCCCGTTCGTCACCAGCACGATTTGATTGCGTCGCTGAACGAGGAGAACAATGCGATTCCAGTCGTAACCGAGGGCAATCAGCTCGTTGCAATGAAAAAGACTGTAGAGCGAATTCGGCAGAAATGCAGCATCCTTGGACGCGACGATAATATGGATTCCGCGTCCGGATTTGATGTGGCGCAGGACATTGACGAAGTAGTGGGAGAAGACATCTTAGAGGCCTCGGATTTGAACCAGCAGCATGCGTCGAATCAGGATGATGAGCAAAATGGCCTTGCAGAGGCAACAGCAGCGGTGGAAGCTATGAGAACAGCGGTTTCGGACGATGAGCAGGTGGAAGAAGACTTGATAAATGTTGAAGATAATGCGCCGAGCCTACGCGGCGCTGTGGGCCATTCGCCAGTCGATGAGGAACTGGTGTCGCCAACGTCAAAACAAGGAACAGCGTCGAGCGCAGGAGGCGCAAAGAGGACTCAAAGCGATCACGAGTCTGACGGACCTATGTTGAGACCTCCCTCAACATTTGGTGGAGCAGCTGGTGCGCGAGCTGCTGGGTTTGATCTCAACAACGTTACAGATCCCAACGACAGCCACAGTCAGCATCTTGCTCCTGCAACATCTTCTTCGAGACCTAGAGCTGGCGCAGGCGCAAGTAAAGCCGGAGAGGCACAACCAAGCCAGCGACTTTTTTCGTCTGCCTCAGGCCATCAAGGTCCGACCGACGAGGAGCAAGATCTCGTCGCAGCAAGGGACGGGAAAGGCCGTGTGCCGTACTATCTTGCAGCAAATCAGAAGGTTCGCGAAGCCTTTCGTAGGGTCCGAGGCAAATTTCCAGATGCTTTTGATTGGGACGCGGGACAGGTAATATGATTTTGAACTGTGATCGATGTTGACGCTGTCTCATGATAGTGAAATAATTAAATCATCGCTTCATTTGCGTTTCCTATGTAGTTCCAGTATTCGAAAGGATGGGAGATTCCACTTCCGAAGGGTCCTTCTGTTTTCTTTGATATTCCATGTTGTCCTACTAGGTTCCACCGGGTATTACTGACGACAGCGAGGCTGCCAAGAAGGCAAAAGAGAAGGAGAAACGGCAGCGACAGAAAGCGAAAGCCAAGGAGAATAAGGGTAAAAAGAAGGAGGAGGAGCTAAAAAAGCAGGAGGAAGCAGCGAAGAAAGCAAAAGAGGAAGCGGAACTGCTAAAGGGTCCTCCCTGTGCTAATTGTAGCACGAATTGTGGCACGAATCGCTCAAAATGGTTCCGGAGATTAGAATATATCTACTGCTCAAGCGATTGCGTCAAAGCACATCAGCGGAAGCTTGCTGCAGATGCAGCGGCCAAGCGATTCGCTAAATAACTTGGACTGTATTTTATATGCACTCAGGACGCACAACCGCATGAGTACGTCGTACGCTAAATAAGCCGTCGTCGTATAATGCGTTTTTTTTCCTGAGGTTTACGAAGTCCAATTACAGTATGCTGATATGATTGCTGACCAGGCATAGTGGCGACTTGCTGCCCCTGCCCTTCAGTAAGCTTGTGACCTGTACTCGGTGGTTTCCCCGTTGAAGGGAGAAGGGAGACGCCTATGTCCTGTAAACTTTTATATAGTGCCTGCTTCCACCACCTGCTCCACGGGACTCGTTTTTCAGAGATGAGCTTTGGAGCCATACACCATTATAATATGAGGTTTCCTACACCTTCCGCTCACGTTTCTACGTATGTATTCTTAGCGGCCGGTCAAAATCAATATTTATCGGAGGCGGCGCGGCGCAGCTGCTCGTGTTTTCTAGCGCTAGTTTTTGAATTCATTGCGGATACCGACATAATCAAAGACGGCATTCGATCCCATAGGTCACTGATGCGATAGCGAGGTATCGTCGGAACTTATCGTTGTGATCACTATTTCGTGCAACATTTAGTGGGATTAACAAGACTTTGACTTTCTCATCCAATTTGATGCAAAACCAGAGGCATGAAGATGAGCGGAGACGCGGAGTGATGGAATTTTCTTTTCTCGATGACAGCAGTAACATCTTATCAGTACAACTAAAACCACAGGCACAGAGACTCGATTCTTGATCCAAGGAGTACAAGAATCACGTGATCGAGGCGCCCAACCGTCGAAAGAAAACCATTCATGATGATCCAACAGAGACTTCATGTCGATGCCCCATGATCATAGGAACCTTATATATTCTATGTGCATCGTTTTCATGAATAACATAGATAGGAGCCCAACCACCTCGTCACACCATGAAAAAAATCCAATTCCAGTAGCAGTAGTTGGACTGAGATGTCTCCACAAACCGATTTCGATCACTGATGAAGTAGTGGACGACGGATCATCTCCCGAAATTTTCCACGTCGTGGGAGAAGGTTTGCCACTTCTCCACAGTGGTAAGCGTAGCTCTACAACAAACACAATGAAGTGTTCCGAGTGGCCCCGTTCACTCATGTCTCGGTTCCTAAAAAATCAAAAGATCGTAGAAGGATCCTGAACTGCTCAGAACCAATCAAAGCAGTGGGGACGAGCCATAATATTAAGATCCGTTCAGAAGCAGCTCCTACAAAGACAGTGCGAAAGCTAAGGTCACCTGGCGTGGTTGCCTCATGGTATAGATGAAGCGCGGTCGTCGATCTTCAAATGAACTCGACCTTCAAGTGTAACGCGTTCCTCCTCGGACGAGAACCAATCTCAGAAAATCCAAGCAAAGATCCAGTCTAAAATCCGAAAATGGTGGTTCCAATAGAGTGTTGGCATCTGTGGCAACATAGAAGATCTTTTCTGAAGATCCAAAGTCGACATTTCCCATGATCTAGCAGCTTTTAGCGACGAGCCAAAGCCGCCCGATCTCTAATAATTGTAGTTGTTGTTTCCGCCAACTCGTGCCTCTACTGCAAGTTAAATGACAATGCAAAAGCAACCGAAGGTCCCTCGTAGTAGTCCCAAATTCGTGGCCGTTCTCCTTCATATCCCACTTCTTTCAACAACAATCTAAAACTCCGAGTACAAAAATTCCAAACTCCAACAACTGCACAGGGAAACTATTAGAAGCAGTATGTAGCTCCGTAAGAGTCTAAACAATAGACAAATCTTACAACTACACACTAGTCTTCTTGAATCTCAGATTCGACACGTAAGTCTCACCAAAAATGGCCGCTGAAAGGAAGTTCGAAGACATCTCCAAGATGTTGGTGTGCCGCACCCATCTTGGAACATTGAACGTGGATCACCGCATGAAGCGTTACATCTTCCGCCGCACTCCGGACGGCATCCACCTTCTGGACCTCGGAAAGACCTGGGAAAAGATCATGGTCGCCGCTCGTGTCATCGTCGCCATCGAGAACCCGGAAGACATCATGGTCATCTCCCAGCGTCCGTATGGTACATACGAGCTACTAGTTTAGTTTTTTTAGTTATTTAGAACTACAGTGTATTGCGTCATCTTTAGAAGACGGGATATTACCGTGATCAAGGATTTGAAATTGCATTTGAAGCGGTTGGACATGCTCCGATTTAGAAGACCCATATATTTCTCTCACTTAGACTTCTTAGTTACCACCTTCAAGAATCTTACCGCGGAAATGTTCCGATGTAAACCTTTTTACCCCAATCTTCAACCTTTCCTCGCCCAAACGAACCGATCTCCAAAATTTCAGGTTCCCGTGCTGTGTTGAAGTTCTCTCAGCACGTCGGTTCCGTGCCGCACCCGGGTCGCTGGACCCCAGGTACACTTACGAACTACATCACCAAGAAGTTCGCTGAGCCGCGTTTGATGATCGTGACGGATCCCCGTACCGATTCCCAGGCCGTTAAGGAAGCCGCCTACGCAAACATTCCGGTACATTTAGCATTCTTTTAGTCTTGCACTTAGAGCTTCCGGGTTGAATGTAGGATATCAGAATTCAGAGGAGGACATGCCTTCAAAATCTACTGTCGTTGCGATGATATTAGTTCTGTAGAGAATTATGCTTCCTTCAGAAATCGAGGCGCGTCTGATTCATTTCTAAAGAAATGTGGATCAAAAACCTGAAATATCCTACGGCCACCTCCTAAACTGCCACCGCACATCGCATCATAGTCGTTGAGCATCATCCTCCACATCACAGGTCATTGCCCTCTGCGATACCGATTCTCCTCTTGAGCACATCGATTTGGCTATTCCGTGCAACAACAAGGGTAAGGAGTCCATCGCTTTGATCTTCTACTTGCTCGCTCGTGAAGTCTTGTACCTGCGCAAGGGCGCTTTGGACCGCTCCCAGCCGTGGGAAGTCATGGTTGATTCCTTCTTCTGGCGTGACCCGGATGAGCAGCAAGAGCAGGCCGATGCCGAGGGCAAGTGGGAGGACGCCAACGCCACTGCCGGCAACACGGAAGCCGCTGCCCCGACTCAGTGGACCGAGGACTGGGAAGCCGCCGAAGATGGTGGCAACTGGGCTGCTGCCGGAGCCGGCGCTGCCGAGGGCTGGTAAATGCACACAGTCTTCTCCTTCGAGGAGGGAAAAGAAGTTGGGCAGAAGCACCTGAGGATAAGTAGGAGATCGAACGGGTGAGGCGATTGTTCTTCGGAGCTTGAATTTCGATTTCCAAGCAGAAGCAGCGGCGATTTAGACAAAGCATTGGGGAGACTTGCCTATTCGCGGAAAAGATCTGTCCTTCTTCAAAAAGATGAAAAACAGCTTGCATGAAGCACCATCGGCGTTTCTTGCAGGCAAAAACCTAAAAAAATCTCCGTGTGCTTGGAGGAGAACGCATGGAGCCTGCGAGACAGAATTCGAGAGGAGAAGATATCTGCCTTGTTGGGACCTCATTTGGTGGGAAGAAAAGCTAGTCTTAGCTTTGTGGCGCAAAGGCTGTTGCTGGGTAGCGGCCACTATTCCTAGTAGCAGCGTCCAAGTCGCCACGCTACGGAGTTCTGTTCCACTTCCATTGCTCTACATGAACAATAACGTAAATGAACTCAATAACGTAGCATGACCAAACTTACGTGAAGATGAGATGAGATAAAAAGTGAAGCACAATGGCAGGACTACTTAGTCCTGCTATGTGCGAGGACTTGTGGAGGCTGCGTTGGTTTTTGGAAGGCGTGTTCAGTGATCAAGCCTTTAGGTAGGGAGTGTTTCCCAATTCCAAATACAAACCGAAGATGAAACCGGAGAGATTCGAGAGAGCGTTGTTGTTTGTATCTCAGTAGCAGAACTTTTCCGATCATGTAATACGCAACCCTACTACAAATGTTTGCACGATTCTGATTGAAACGTTCCACGTTCCAGGGTCCTGAGCCTGACCAATCGGAAACCCTAAAACCGCGACTCAGGGACGAAAAACCAACATACACATTGGTCTTTGATGTTTTTAGGCTGACTCAAATGGTGCACGTCAAAAACCGAAACAGTATCCGCCATGTGAAGACTGAGAAGATGGATACTTGAGTACTTACCTGATTATTCGATTCGAATTCAGAGAAAGCCTAGCGTCTCATTGCCGCTGTTTCATATACCCCATTTATACGACGCCTGTGTAGGTCTTTTTGGATTGCAGATCGTAGTGGCTCATCAGGCTTCGCGCGAGAACCTCTCAAGACCTAGTATTTCGGGAAGATGTTGCTAATATATTCCACATGCCTCATCTTTGCGAGGCGCGTGCTCGCAATGCACGGACGCGAGGGATCCCTCGACGGGGGCCGCATTTTTTCAGCGGATGAACTACCCCTGAGACGACCTCATCCAACAGGAGTGGTAGTCTTCACCCCAGGCGTGTCTACAGAAGCGGGCATGATGGGGCATTCGCGGTTTTCCGAGAGTACAGCAGTCGAGCAGAATTCGGACTCGATCGCATGTCCTCCAGAGAGTGGTGGCAGTGTGGGAAGCAGTGGTGCAGCCGGAGGATGTGGCGCGAAAGCTACTGCGAGGACGAGCATTGGGTCGCAGTCGTCTGCATCTGCGCAACAAGAGCTACAGGCGGCTACTACCGGCGCGTCTTCTCCTCCGAGCCCAACGTCGCTGATATCTCAGTCGACGACATCTTCGCATTCCCTAGGCGACGGCGGTTTCTCTCCTGGAGCAATGACTTCGTTTCTGGAACTTTCCCCGTCCGCTGGAAAGTTGTCTTTGAGCCAGATGGGCAACATCGCGTTTTCTGTGGCCTCGTCAGCAGCATCGCATACGGCTTCGGGTCGAGCCAATGTTAAGGCTCCTTTCAATAAGAATGCAGATTCTTATTTTCCTTCCCCAGAGAGAGACAGAATGCATGTTCTTTTCCTTCCCCTCAGAGAGACTACAGGTAAAAGAAAGAGTGCCAGTTCGTTCGTGGACCCTTAGACTGTAAGTTATCGCGCCTCGTCACCTCTTTTTTGGAATCTGACAAGGCTAGCATGAGTTTATAGAACCAGGAAGTACGATTATTTTGAGCACCTCTTCTAACATTACGGAGTGCAAGCGTTGTCGTCCGAATTTCAGCGTCTGCCCCGAAAATTGGGAGCACCGCCAGGATCAGAAGTGCTACCCGCCTGCTGGCTATTCTGGGTATTGTGGACCGTTTTCGCTCACCGAGCGCGACGATGTCGAGAAAGAGGAAGCGGAAGTCTTTTATGGTTGTGAGTGTGACGAACAAGATATTCATGATATTTCTCGACTGGTTTACATTTACCTTTACTTGTAGCAATTGCAGATGCAGAAGCAGTTCTTGATTCCCACCAGGACTAGAATTTCATGATTTAGCACCTCCAACTCCGCGTCCCACAACATCTTCTTGAAACATCGGTCACAAACAGAAATTCTCCAACTTCCACCTCCTGACATCTAGAAAAGGCATAATTTTCGTCTTTCATTCCTCCTGTCGGATGTGCTTCCCTTGTGCAACGCGCAGATAAGCCAGCTATTCGAGATGAATGCGAGATGATACTACAGAAGTCAAACCACGGGATTCGTCGCTTTTCCATCTTTTCGACGAGCCCTTAGCGGAACCAACAGACGGAATGATCATGACCGAGATGAGTAGAGGTTGAATACGGTTACGATACGACATACACATGAGTCAGTTGCAGCGGAGCGAGCAGGTTGCAGTTTGGAGATGATCTAGAAAAAATGAACAGATGAATGTATAAGATGAACAAGATCAAGGTGCTGCTGTTTTTTGTAACAAACGAACTACAGATTGGGTAACGTCATGTTGGATTTGGCGCAGATCGAGTCGTAAACTAAGGTGATACTTAGTCATACTGGATATGCTGACATCAAGAAGTTAGTTTTTGATCTTGTTCTTGCATGCAATGCAGCGAGTAATGCGCAGTATAATACATAGATGGTCAGTTGCAAAAATCTACTTATCTACCACAGTAATCATGTCTTTTTTGTACTAGCATAATTGAAGTGGGTAGGAGGAAGAATGAGTCGTGATTTTCAAGACCGGGAGTAAAAGAATGTAAATGATTGTTTTTGCAGAGAAGTGTAGTTGTCTATTATTTTTTCGAAAGCAAAAGAGATAAGGCTTAAGCATGAGCATCCCCATCAGTAGAAGATTGTGTGATGCGGATGGAAAAACCGACCACGACAAAACAGAAACGGCGAGACGATATCGGAGATGAAGAAGGGCATTGGTTGTACTTGCAGAGTGTGCATTTCATGCCTGTTGATGATGTTGCAAAAGGTGCTCCCCAACGAAAGATCGAGATTGGTTGTAGCAAGATAGCGACAAATTCATTGGGTCGAATATCGGTAAAAACAAAAAATGACCAACATGGAATTGGAATCTTCTCCGAGAATATTGCTTTCAACATAGTCATCAAGTTCAAGCACTTTCTAAGGAGGAAATAAGTACTTGATAATGTAGATTACACCTCCTTTCCCGAACCCAGCTCCGATGAAAATGTGCTCCACGGTGCACTCGCCACGGACGGGCTGGTACAAGATGCAAGTACTTTCGTACTCGCTTCTTCTTGGTGCGTCGAGTGGGATAATGGCAAGCAGCGTTCCGAAATTGTTTTTCGGCGACTCCGAAGAAGGCGTGCCAGTTCCTCGAGAAGTTCTACCGCCAGGCACGGGTCCTGTAAGCGAATCCTTGCTGGGATACTCTGCTCATGTTATGCTTGATCATCTTTTTGTTCGCAATTGTCCTGGGTACTCGCTCAGATGAGGAATTGCAGCAGGTAGTACTACTTTGATGAATTTATTTTTGACAACTCCTCGTCCTCGAATTATATCTGAATGGCACTAGTTCTAGTATCATTCTTCATCCTCTAATATGAACGGTATTCGTTTGTTGGAAGGCGGAACCCACGTAGCGATGCCTCACGAGAGCGATCAGCCGCTTCACGGAATCCAAGTGCAACGAATGCCTGGGACCCGTGGACCGCTGAAGAACGCGAGTTGCAGAGGGAGACGCTCGTGACAGATATCCCTTCAGGCGTTTTGATGCCGGATGCTTCGTGGTCTTCGTTCTAGCATGAGCACAACGTCCGGTGCTTCATCTAGTACTACATCATCCACCACTGGCGCGTCTACTGCGACCGTTCTTTCTCTCCGAGCACCGCCGCCTTATCGGAGATTGCTCGCGCAAAAGGAGGCGAACGGCTCGAGGCGCTTTACATTTCGGCGGTTCAGTTCTTCGAGCAGCTGGTGGAAACGCGGATCGAATCACCACTCAAATTTTTTGTGTCCACCAGTTCTTCGAGCAGCTGGTAGACACGCGGATCGAATCACTACTCAAATCGCCGAGCTTCGCGCCCTCCTCGAGGCAGAGACGTCGCTCCTCCTGCAGGCAGTGGGGCAGTACTACGGAAGCAGCGCAACCAAGACGAAGACCAACAGCGTGTCGGACAGCAGCAAGCCTCAGGGTGTGCTCTACTCTCTGCGCGGGTGCTACCACTTCGAGGCACACCCCCACCTGCGAATCCGAGGTTCCGAGGTACACATCCCGCTGGAGACGCCGCTCTTCGTTGCGACGATGGTCAGTCCGGCGCACCTGGGCAGCAGCAGTGCTAACCAGGGTTACGCACGCTTTCGCTGGAATGCAGCCCTGCAGCAAGTGGAACTGTACTCGATGTGGGTCGTCGATTTCAACTTCCAGTCGGCGCCACCCACGATGCACGCACCGGGTCTCGCAGCCGCAACGAGCGGAGGAAGCAGCTTGGCAGCGCCTTACACCTCGTCTGCCTCCTACAATTAAAGCTCCAACAAGAAATCCATCTTCACAGGCATCTTTGTCCTCCCGTTTTCCCGTTTTCCTTAGAGGAACGAAAAGGAGACCCAAGATGCTGCGGAGGATGGATGTCTCTTCGATATTTCATCTAATAGACCGACCTATTTGGAAGTGCTGCCGTTACGGCGGTCTCCACACGTCCGCAGACCTCGCCGCACTACGCAAAGCTGGTTGTGGGAAGCGCAGACGGATTCGGGAACCCGTGTGTATTTCTAACCACATTTGGAAGCGCACACGGAGTCACTCACGGCAGATCCACGCTCCCAGGGCTCGGCGACAGAACCTCGCGGTCTCTTCGAGCTGGTGCAGCGACGTAGTCTTCTCCCACCCGACCTCGACGAAGTGTGGCGTTTGGACGTGTCCTCTTCATCTTCTTCGGAGAACAGGGACACCTACTTTTGTGATCCTTCAGAGAACAACTCTGACCAAAGGAAGAATTTTTCTAGACTGTTGGTGTCCTGAGACGTATCTATAATTCGCTGTTTCTAATTTCCGTATCAGGGATGCACGCATGACATGAAAAAAGAACATGGAAACAGGATGCGCCCGAAGGTCATGGATTTTTTCTCTTTCTTAGTTCTAAACTTGATGCTGCTTCGTGCAGAGCGAGATGTGAAATTCCTTGAAGAACAGGGGATGGAGTCGTTTTCTCTCCTAGACCGCACCAATGGACGAAACTATTATCCTTTGTGCATACCACCTACAGACCCTTGTTAACTTTTTCTTCATCAAGCAGACTGCATTTTTGACCCAATAACATCAACATGCAACCAAGACGTGAGTAGCTATCTTCTGAAGAACAATAGAAGACTTTTAAGATGAAGAGAAATACGCTGTAGAAGTCGCACAGGAAATGAGCCGCTTTGTCTGGGGAGTGAGGAACTACGAAGATCCCCACATGCTCTCCGTGTACAAAATGATGCTCCTTCCACCAGGAGTGACAGGCGGAATTAAACAGGATATTAAGGCTTCCCCTAATCCATTTCTGGAAGCATCCCCTAACCGTAACCGTAGGTATGCCTCCCACTACAAGGGAGATATTGACGCATATGCGTCCGGGATTTCTTCCAGGATGAATTGGAGGGAGCTCTAATGATATCCTGAACCTACTATTGTTGCCCTACGTCTTCACCACAGCGTTGTTGGCGATCCTAGGTGGCCTCATCATGGAAGTCTACATCGGACGTGTTTTCGTCAAAATGGCCAACAAGTTATGGCAAGCTGCATTATTTTTTCTCTCACGCGGGTACTCCCGCCGTGTGATAATAAAAGGAAAGCAGTACTACAGTACTGCTTTACTTACCTTTATTATCTAAAAATCTAGTAGTAGTACTAGTAGTATCTTTGTAGGCCTAGGCTTCTTCTACGGAGGTGGTCACGATAGATGGCCAACTTATGAGCGGTACACACATTCACATCATGACGTCACGTCTTCATGTAGCTTTCCTAGTACACATCCAAGCTTGCCACAATAGTACAACTCAGCACAGCTGCGTTTATTGTTCTTTGATGTTTTTTGCTCTAAGGAGCAGGGACGCGTTTTGGCGATTTGGGCAGGTCGCTTTGGTCCCGGTCACAATTGGCGTATGTTGAAAAATCATGGAAACAAATGTAAATGTATGAGTTCTTTTCATATCTGGTTGTGATGATAGCGTCTTTTGCTATCCTTCTGCAAGAACCAGGATAGGGGATTCTGAAGAGAAAGCGTGCAGTGTTGCTGATGAGCCCTGAAGAGAGAGACCAGCGTGCAAACAGGAGCCCCAAAGAGAGACGCTCAGACACATCGTCTTACTACTACTTACAGCATTGATGTGAAACGAGAGGACCTCGTGATGATAGGATATGAAACTGTGCAAAGTTGTGAGCGACGATGAAATTGAATGAAAAGGAACTAGTGCTGGCCCTTTGGCCGAAGACTTTGAAATTGGAAATTGCTGATAGAGTGATGAAACAACAAGATTGAGAGTCATCTCACACAAATATGGCATGAAAGACAAGACGCGTAAGTGTCCAGAGAAAACGGGAAAAGAAAATTCGCATAAACAAGATGTTTTACGGCTTCTACTTCTTCAAAATGGTAGAGCACAGGCTCATAGATTGCCAGGGTGGAGCACTCACATGAATGAAAAAGAGAGTTTTACAGCTACGTGCTTCTTCAAAATGGTTACCGCGATGGAGGTACAACTACGGCTACTACTACTCGATCAGATACAACTTTCCAACAACAGCATCCTTTTGTTTTTGAAAATGCGAACCTCTTAGCGTTGAAAATTTATAACCCGTTAGCAAGCTGGTTCTTGAATAGTATGAATACTGCCCGTGGTGCGTGGTCGGCTTCGAGCGAAGGCTAGGGTGAACGTATGAATGAATATCCTAATCCAGTAGTGAAGGACTTCTAGTTCTTGTAGTAGAGTGCTCTACATCAACCGTAAGAGAAAATGATGTCACCCAGTACTTTCTTCGGGAGGATGCGATTGCTACTTTTTTCGGTAGTAGCTCACTTTCTGCTTGCAGAGATGGCTGCAGGAAGCGCAGTACCGAAGATGTTTTTCGGTGATACAGAAGAAGGAGTGCCTGTTCCGCGTGAGATATTAGCGCCAGGCAACGGCCCAGTAAGCGAGTCCTTGCTTCGATACTCCGCACATGTTATGTTGTAGCTTGGCATAACCATAATTCAAAATCAGATTTTTATTTTAGAAATCGAAATCCGTAGTTGAACTGTTCATCAAGATGAAAGTTATTTCGCCAGGTTGTAGCCTAAGTAGTCTTCTATTATATAGTGATGACGTTGCGTCTTTCTCTTTTTAATCTTTCTTACATGATCATTCATATTCAAGCTTAGATCAGCATCAGTTAGTACTGAATCGTCGAGACAGAGACTGAGACACTCACACGAGGACTGAGACATTCACACGAGGACTGCGACACTCACACGAGGACTGCGACACTCACACGAGGACTGAGACACTCACACGTGGACTGAGACATTCTCCACAGAGAGCTGCATTCTTCTAATGATAACGGTATCCGTTTAGTGGGAGGTGGAAGCCACGTTGCGCTGCCTTTCGAGAGCGACCAGCCCTTCCACGGAATCCAAGTGCAACGAAACTTCGATGGGTCTACGGAGTTACGCGCTACTGGTGTTGTGTATAATTGCAGTTGTCCTCTGTCGTGGTCCTACTCCTTCTCCTCATAAGTGAGCTTTTCGTCCTTCTATTTCTCAATCTCATTGATGCCTTTGTCGCTGCTGGCCTACTTACTGTAGTGGACGCAAATGTTCTACAACTCGAGTCATGTTGACATTGTCAGCTTATTTCTCAACCTCGTGATGATATAATGTTCAACCTCGTGAGATTATCTAATAGGAATTGCACACGTCGGGATGGCCTTGGGGCCGAATCCGATTTCACTTGCGTTCCCTCACGATTTGGTGGTAGATCGAGACCCAACGACAGAGCAAAGTGGCATCAATAAGGGTCTGAACCGCCAAAATCGGATTGGAGCAGTAGCTCGTGCTTCGGTCGTCAAGAGTCTCCCAAAAACAGGAACTACTGTTATGACTCCTTCACGAAATGCATGATGTTCATGTCTTTTGATTTTTACCATCTACTACAACATGCTTTCTATTTCTAGCTCGATTTCTAATTCTGCTGGTAACCACGCAACAGCAACAGCTCTTCTTATCTCTCGTCACGACACATCAGACGAACAATTGAGATAAGAAATAGAATAGACAATGAAGATATAATCTCCTACTCTACTACTTATTTTCACATCTTCACAATCACATATGTATCACCCAAAACGACTTATTTAAGACTCTAATGATGAAGGCTTCTACAAATTTGCTGATGCGTGGGAGACGTGGACAGCAGAGGAGAGGAGGCTGCAAAGAGAGACGCTCGTTACTTAAGGATAGTATCTATTACTCGAATACTCAAGTAACAAAAAACAATAACCGAGTATCTGAGAAGATTACTCTCTCCTCAAAATAGAAAGCAAGTAACAAAAAACAATAACCGAGTATCTGTATCTGAGAAGATTACTCTCTGGGATACTCGCTTTCGCTTACTTCGGTTTATCGAATACTTTACTATGTATGTAGCTTGAAGATGTACATTGCTTAGTAGTTGTAGTCAAAGAAAGCGGGCGTGAAAGCCTCTAGACAAGAACCTCTGGAAGCCTCTGAAATTAAGAGAGGGCTCCTCAGGGAACCACTCAACTAGTTCCACAAAAGATTTGAGTGATGATCACAGATCATACTCGGACCTACATCATTGAAAGGGAATTTAGCTGAACGTGAACTGGTACGTGCTAAATACCAATGCCAGATCAAGGGTCTGCCGCACCAGCTGCAAGTAGTACTAGAACTATTGGCGCGAACTCAAATACAACTGCCCTGCAGTTATGTTTAAGTATTCAGAAGTACGTACTACCTGCTCTAATGTACTGGCATCCCCGCTGGCGTTCTCATGTCGAGTTCTAGCTCGAATGGGGCCGCTCATGGGGACGCTCCTTTGAGGGAGATAGCTCGCGCGAAAGCGGGCGAACGCATGCGGTTGGAGGCGGTGTACAATTAAGGCTTCCTCTAGTTGTCAGTCCATCTCTATGGACTCTATGTTGGAGATCCCTAAAAAACCCTTTTGTATACCTTTTGCAACCTTTTGCATCCCAATGCAAGGGAGAGAGTCCTCGGGCATATGCTTTCGTGATTCCTACAGGAGTGAAGTCGCGCGGGAAGCTCTAAAGCAATTCGGCGGCAGAATTTTTCGAAAAGCTGGTGGACACAAGGATCGATTTGCCACTTACGGAGCAGTTGCGCGACTTTTTGAGTTCGCCGCAGGCCCAGTCCCAGGCGCTCACCGACCGCATCAGCCAACAGATTAAAGAGCTACGCGCGCTTCTTGAGGCCGAGACATCTTTGCTGCAGGCAGTGGGGCAGCACTACGGAAGCAATGCAACCAAGACAAACAGCGCCGGGGACAGCAGCAAGCCTCAGGGTGTGCTTTACTCTCTGCGCGGATGCTACCACTTCGAGGCGCACCCGGACGTGCGGATCCACGGTTCCGAAGTCCATGTTCCGCTAGAGACGCCGTTCTTCGTGGCCACGATGGTGAGTCCCGCGCACCTGCGCAGCAGCCGAGCCAACCAAGGGTACGCACGCTTTCGCTGGAATGCAGCCCTGCAGCAAGTCGAGCTCTATTCGGTGTGGGTCTTGGATTTCAACTTCCAGTCAGCCGCGCCGGCGACGCATGCGCCGGGTCTCGCGCAGGCCACGAATGGCGGGAACAACCTTGCTGCGCCTTACACGACGTCCGTCTCGTACAGTGACCTCTTCGGCAGCGCCGCCGTTTCGGCAGTGGCTGCTCGCCCACAGACATCGCCACACTACGCGAAGCTGGTTGTGGGGAGTGCAGACGGATTCGGCGACTTTGCGTGGTCCACGGTCGTATCCACGACCGATCCGCGCACACAGCGGTCGACGTCAGAACCTAACGGCCTATCCGAACTAGTGCAGCGGATCAATCTCCTCCCACCTGACCTCGAGGAAATGTGGCCCTCGGACGACATGCCCCAGTCAACGGCGGAAGAGCCTTATGCTATCATGTCGTTGATGTCTGAATGTGATCGTGATGAATGAGAATGAGGCAAATGAGAATGAGAATAATTAAGACAGACTTTAGTTGTGGCAAGATTCGGTGTAAGAGTCTATGAGTTCTTGTTTTCTAATTTCCGGCATACTTGTGTTCGATGAGTACGATGCAGCGAATCTACCGGCAGCTGCGCGCAGCCAATGTGAACGCAAAAAACCGGGATCTGATGATGCCAGGCGCGGCGAAGCCGACCAGTGCGGAGAAGCAGGGCCTTGCGCACCTTCTCGGCGACGTGTGGACGTGCGACAGGTATTTTACACGTTCGGACCTGGGCCCGGGCAGCAGTGGGGTGGATTGGACGGCGATGCTAGTTAGCACGCACGGCTACTATGAGGCTCCGTATTTCGCGAATGACGATCACGCGATTAACTATCGCATCCTGGGTCTAGGATTGTCCGGCTGGGCCGACTGGACCAAGCAGCTCGGCTTCGCCGAGTTTCAAAGCGGAAAAACGCAGAAAACCAATGCCGCTCTGATTACAGCGCCGGGTTCCCAGCCGCGGTGGAAACGAGATTTCGACGCATTTTTAGTGGAAGAGCGACAAGGCGCGACGTCACCCACTCAGCGCTCGGCACTGCAGCAGCAGGAGCGTGGAAACACGATCTTGGAGATTCGTATGCAGGATGACGTTTCCTGCGAAACGTTGTTGTTCGATGGTGCGCCACCACTGAAAGAGCGACCTGGCTGTGCAGCTGACCACCAGCAGTGCCTGCTCCTGGGCGACAGCGATGTGATGAACGCTCGACTTGCGGCGAACATCCTCGCATTCCCTAGTACCATCGGTTTCTACTCGCCAGCGGAGAAGTACCTTTGAGGCTTCGTTCCCCTCTACATTCTTGCAACCTTGAGAGAGAAGCTTCTTGAAACGTGAGAGAAGCATCTAGAGAGAGAAGCGCTGGGACATACTAGGTTGTCAACCTAGTAGAGAAGCATCTTGCAGCCTTTCGCTAAGCGGAAAGCACGCCAAAGATGCAATGTCGTAAGCGAGCTCTAATGGTTATAGATTCTGAATTGAGGTCCTGAATATAACACGTAATTTAATCGAATTAAGGTAAGCAACAAGCTCCTCTAATTCCTGGCCCTCGAGACGCTTCCAGGTGCGAACCAGAACCTGACGTCAGCGGATAACGCGGCGCTCATGTACGACT